AACATTGCGGGAAGATTTCAACCATTGAATAGGACGCCAATGAAGGAGCTGGTATCACATAGGCTCCAGTACTGCAAGCATTTGGCAACACCCAGACGATGTGACGGAGTAGGGCTGTGGGCATCCCAAAGGTGCCCGTCTTTCAAGATCAGCGAGTTGCTTACTTGGGTGGGATACCCCATTACAGTCCTGCATCGATGCGCTGTAGAACCTCATACCATGAAATATGGTGATTAAGAAGAGCGATCGTGATAGCAGTTGTGCCGTCCAGTTTGACCTCGGCAAAAGTGAAAAGACGGGAGAAGTGGATCTCATAGCCACCGCGTGAAGTATCTCACACGTTATCGTCGCAACACGAAACGCGATATTCTGAGAAGTCGCAGGTCTGTGAACAAAAGTAGAGTCTGAGGTTTCGACACTTCCTGCTTTCCCTTGGTGGACAATCTACGGCCCGCAAGCCGCTCCGTCTTCCCGAAATTTGCGTCCCCTCGACGGCACCCAAGCACCTTGAAGTAGTCGTCGCTTAGCATGCTCAGACACTGAGCCCGAGGAAGTATGTACAGCGCTATGCAGTCATCAAAAGAACGCTTCGATGGAGTAAGCTAGACCGCAAAATGACGGAACCGCGGGCCTGTTTCCAATCCACGGAATACGTACACCATCACATGCAGGGCATGTGGCCTAAGCCTTCTCAACAACGCGCACATCTATACGCCCTTTTCCATGATAGATGGATCTCGCGGACAAACGGCCTTGAACGTTTATCAAAATAAGCCAAGGTGGGCTGAATAGGCTGAAAGGGCGTTCCGTCCCCGCTGTTGGTTTATTGATATTGCTTCCGCGCGTGAGACGCCACCACGTGGAACGTCTTCGACGTCGATATAAAAGATACAAGGAGCCTGTGTTTGGTATTTCGATACTCTGCGTTTGCGCACTCACAAGTCCAATACTACAACATGCCGTCTACTAAAAGCAAGAACATCATTATTACTGGCGGTGCGCGAGGCATTGGTCGCTGCACAGCACGACACCTGCTTTCGTTGCCAGTATCGCATCGCGTTTTCATCATCGACTTTGATGCGGACGAGCTCGAATACACAGTTAATACACATCTAGCCGCCTACGCACCACGTGTCAGCTCATCGATCACCAACCTCCGCAATCCGGAAGAAATTCGCAGCGCAGTCGCCAAAGCCGCCGAATTTTTCGGTGGTCGGATAGATGTGTTGGTCAACAATGCTGGAGTCGCTCGAGGATTCTTCAACGCAGGAAACGGGACTATGGAAGACATCGCTACAGGAGAGCAATGGGAAGCATACATTGCTACCAATCTCAGCGCGCCCTTCTACATGAGCCAGGCCGTCATCCCTTTTATGAAGAGTCAGAACACACAAAAAGACGGTGCGCCAGGCGTTGATCGATCGAAGGATCTGAAGCGCACGGAGGAGTTCAACCAGCTGCCACTGAACCTCCATGGCGAGGACAAGTTGGAAGAGGGAGGCTGCATCATCAATGTTGCTTCCTTTCGCGCACATCAGTCAGACCCAGATTGTGAAGGCTATGCTGCAAGCAAAGGTGGTGTGCTGGCACTCACACAGGCCATGTCTGTTTCATGCCAGCGTTGGGGTATCCGAGTCCTGGCTATCTCGCCAGGCTGGGTTAGCGTACAGCACGAGTGTAAAGCTCGCGATTTGCAGATCAAGGAAATGCAGAACGGATCGTACAAAGAGGTCGCACCACATGAGGAGGAAGCGGTGAAGCGAAGGATGAAGGCCTGGGCGGAAGATCTGGATGAACTCTATCACAAGCAACACCCAGCCGGCAGAGTGGGTAGGGGGGAAGATCTCGCTGAGATGGTTGAGTACGTCATGGGTGCAGGCTTCTTGAGTGGACAGGAGTTGATCTTGGACGGCGGTGCAAACCGGAGAAAGAATCCCAATATTTGAGATGTCTGCATAGATTAATAAAGACATGCGCAAAGCCAACTTGAGAGCTATGCATGCGCAACAGAGGGTTGTTATCAAGTGCGATACGCCGCCAACGCCATGCTTGCAGTTGTATCAGAAAACCAACGCTAGAGTAAGCAGGAATCCCAACCTTAAGAAGTGTCGGGTAAGAAAGGATGGTGCGCGTGGGCCGGACAACGAGGCACTATCATTTCAAGAGGACTTCAATCATACACGTTTCTTCTTCGTCCACGTCGTAGTCGGCCACTGTATCCAAGGGCATCATTCGATCACCGTCGAACATGAGTGTGACTGGCTGGTTTTTATCGATCTTGTGGCGAGTCTTGTAAGCACTTGCGATGTGTGCAACGGTGGTGCTCTGACAACTGAGTTAGTATATGGACATAGGCCATCATGTTGGATGTATCGCGTCTTTGCATACGCTGAAGGAACAATCTCGACATACCTCTTTTACAGTCAGTTTGAAATCGGAGTAGCCCTTCGCTTTTAGGACTAGACGGAACCGCTTCTCTTCGGGTTCGGGCTCCGGTTCCGGAGTTGGAGTCTTTTCTCTCGTCACAACAGCTGCTTCGGCTGCCAGCTTCTTGGCTAGAGCTGCAGCGGCATCTTCCTTCTTACGCTGCTTGTAGACGTCTTCTGTCCAAGCTTCGACATGGATCTTGGGAAGATTGACGTCATCGTATATGTTGGAGTCTCCTTGAACAGAGACGTTTCCGCTATCGTCGACTTGTATCCCTAATCGCTTTATTGATGTGCTGTCGTAGAGACGTGTACCCTTCCACGTGAAGAAGACGCTGCGTGTCATTTGCTCCGAGAACTTCTCCTTCCCACACCATGCCAGCCGTGGCTTCCCGATGGTACTGTCTACTCTGACCTTGACCATCAATGGCTTCGCATCAGGCATTTGTGGATCAATCAATAGCTGTACTATAGGCGCCTTGGGAGCGTCGCCATTTGCCTGCGCCTTAGCTGCCGCGACACGCGCTCGCGCCCTTGCCCGTAATGCAGCGAATGCGGGGTCTCCGTCTTCATCGTCGTCATCGTCGTCATCGTCGTCGTCGTCGTCGTCTTTGATCTCTATAGGAGACGGTTTCGATGGCCGGACGGCTATGTCTTGTCTGAAGTCGGAAGCGGGCGATTTGTAGTCAATGGCAGGGTTGTCGTTGACAGGCTTGGAGACGTAGCCGGAGTCGTCGTCTTCGTCTGAGTCGCCCAGGTCAATCACGTGAGATTCTCTCTGAGGCAACGAAATGCTCGAGGAAGCGGACTTGGTCAAGGAGTCGTAGCGTGCTGTGAGCGAATCAGGTGGAGGACGGGATGGCGCTGGAGAAACAGATGTGATGCTGCGTCTGGGCAATTGTCAGCGCTGGCGGTCAGACGAAGGTGAGATGCGCACGCTTTAGCAGCGGTCCTGCCCACCCGTTCCTTGCTGGCCGAGCCGTTCTTGGGTGGGACAAGCTCTTCGCTGTCGTTTGATATGCGGCGTCGCTTTTGGTCGCGCGGTTCAGAGTGTTTGCGCTTTCTCGCCGCTTCAGCTTTCTTTTTCTCCTCTGCCCTTGTCCTAGCCTGCTCGGCAACTATGTCTTTGAACTCATTGGAGTGACTAAACATGTCCTCGCTGTCTTTCTTGGGCGCATCTTGCCATGCTGCGCGCTTGAACAGGCTGCGCTTCTTGGGTGGTGCGGCGCTTGCGGTCGAGTCCGTCATTGCTCGCGCGATGTCATGAGCAGCCGAGTTGGATAGAGGATAATGTTTGCACTATCCCGAGGTAGCGTCCAGGCGAGGAGAATATCGATGTGTGTTGGGGAGGCGCGGGCAGGTGCAGGTGGGGCTTCAACGCGCAGTCACGCTTCTCGCGATAGATGAGGAACACACTTGGTCTGTGCACTCTTCCTTTCCACCATCCAACATCGCCGTCTTCCCACTTTCATACCCACCAGCAGCCGAATTTGGGAACCATCAGCTCACGCCTGATCAGAAACTCACGTAAGCTGTTCTCTCCGTCTTGCATAGTGAGCTGCTAAATGTTTCTCAGGAAGTCACACGTCACCAGATTCATCACCATGTCCACCAACGGCGAAAGCCCAGCACCCGAAGCCGCCGGCGACTCAAGAGATCCTAGCGGATTTCTCAGCGAGATCATCGGAGCTCCCGTCACTGTCAAGCTGAACTCTGGCATCATCTACAAAGGTACTTCCTCACGTGCCCTGCATCTACGTCAACTGCTAATGTCTACATAGGTGATCTCCAGTCAGTAGATGGCTACATGAATATCGCATTGGAACGATGCAAAGAGGTCTCCGAGGGACGCGTCACCCGGAATTGGGGGGATGCTTTCGTCCGTGGTAACAACGGTATCTTATCCTCCACTCAGATTTTCACTCCGCTTTGTACTAATTCACCTTCAGTTACATACATCTGCGCAGACAATGCATGAAGAACTATGAATTTGCAGTTCTTTTTGGAGGAGCATCGCGGTAACAGGCCCCATGTGATGATTGATGAACCATGCTATCCACATAACTAAGCGTCAATGAGAGTTTGAACGACCATTATAAAATATGCACTCGACGCCTCCACAAACGATGCAGGATCAAGACTACTTGTCTGGCGGCGCAGCTGGTAATAGTCGTGAGGGCCGATCCTTTGTAAGAACTCACCTTCACTGAGCTGTACCCCAATCTAGCCGTCGGTGACGACTCTAAACCTGTCTCTCGCACTCAACAAAAGCCACATTCCACTTTCCCCTTCACCATGTCGTCACTGTCTCTTAGAATTACAGTCCCTGTCAAAAGACGGATTCACCTGCGCACAGCGCTACCACGATGCGCTTTGCGCTGTTGAACGGTGCAAACGCTGTGGAAATCTCGACGCGCGGCTGTTTTCAACCTGCACAACAACAACACGCGTGTCTACAATCATTCTCAACCTGCTCTTAAGAGTTTTTCGAGCATCGCCGCGCCCGCATCGTTTGCGCTGTGACTGGCATGCACTAACCTTCTTAACTGATTCAGCCTAACAGTCACCCAAGCCATGACGATCGCTAGGGTTAAATCCCGCGTCCGATTCTCCGGCCGGGTCAAGCGAGATAGAAAGAACAGAAAACACTTTCCAGAAAATTCGAAACCAAAGAAGACAAACAACGATACGCATGGTCCGACAAAAGCCCCCAAAGGTAGAGACCTTTGCTTCGGACGCTACTATCACCAGACGAACCCGCTGACCGGCTCAGTGTACATGTTTCCTGTTGAAATCGACAATCGAATTTATGATGATAGCAATTCTGTTGACGATGATATGGCATCTTTCCTCAAGAAGCGTGTACTAACTACTGATGATCAAGAGTCTGATGGCGCCTTCAAAAGCGGTCTTAGAACTGCACTAATACTATGCAGGATCTCTCTGGTTACAGAAAATCCAGATATCGCTGGTGGCGATGCTGATGAGTACGATCACGAGCCGAGCGGCGCCTCTAATGACGGCCACTTAGCTGAACCGAAAGACTCCTGTGTTCCGTCTGTCTCAGTCATTCTAGACGCATCAGAAAGCGTCACAGATGAGAATGACGAACCACCCAGCTCCCTTCTGATGCAAGCACCACTATGGGCGTGGCCGGCGGAGTGGTTTCCGGCAGACTCTATTCCTGCAGCACCAGCGACTACAACAGGTTCATCTTCAGAGGTGAAATGCGGTACATCAGATTCATCACTAGTAACGACAGACACAACGGTAGATCCATATCGAGCCAAGGACAAGACAATAATAGATCCATCGCCAAGGACAGAAGATAGTACAGCAGATTCATCACCAGTGGTTGGAGAGTCTGTGGAAGTCTCGTCATCGGCGACAGCAGATAACACGGCCGTCTCGTCGTCAGTGGTATCAGAAACTATATCAGATCTCTCGTCAGCTTCGGCAGAGACTATATCAGATCTATCATCAGAATCGGTAGGTGTCGCAGCAGACTCGTCATCAGCGGCAACAGTTACTGTGACAGGTCTACATCCAGGCGCGGCAGTTACTACAGTAAACTCGACTTTAGTAACGGCAGCTCCGACACCAAATTCTGGTCCAGTGGTGATGAAGAGCACAGCAGCACCCTCTCTGGGACCATGGCATAAATGGTTTGTTCGTCTCTTTGCGGGACGCAAATCCAACAAGTCTGACAGTCCTCCTCAATCAACTCCCGAACAACCCATCTCTATCATATCCTGGGCTAGAGAGCGCAGTAGTTCCGAAGCAGACGTTGTCCTACCTCCACTGCCACGTCTCGAACTCCCGAGAGTCCTTCCAGAAACTCGCCGTAAGAAGAACAGGGTCATTGATCGCCCGGGTTATGCCATCAACATCCTTCAAGCGCCTTATCATGACTTCATTGGCCGTGCTGTCCTCGAAGGAGATGCAGATGACGCGAGAGCAGTCCAATGCGGCTTCAAAGTAGCAAGCAACTCGCACATCGTCCCGCTCGCCCAACGTCGCAACAACTCTGACAGTAGTCTGCTGGACCGCGACGGAGATGCTTGGGCAGATTGGAACAAACTGAATATCACTGCCGATGCCATGCCTTTCGCAAAATCTCAGTCAGACACCAACTTGCTACACCCTCGGACTGGCGCTCGGATGGCGCGAAACACCAGTATGTACAGCGCCGAGTGGACCAAGGGCCAGACTGGCCACTGCTTTCTTGAGGATGCTGGACATCGATACCCTTTTGGAGGACTGGGCTTGTAGTGGTTGAGAAGCAAAATGTCTTTTGAGCTATTGCAGATTGAATACTCCCACTCAAGACCGACTTGGTGGGGACAGACCGAGTTTACGCAGCCTGTATAACCAAGTATGGATCGCGTCCACTTACCGGGGTTCAGGCTAGCCGTTGAGATCTAGATTTCTTATTTTCCTGGTTTTCTTGATTTTCTTTCTTGCTTCCGGAGCATTGGAGTGGGGCTTGTTGCTCGCGCGAATGGCGTCTAAGCTATCACTGCTTCTTCATGGCCTAGTGCCCGCGGGCTAGAAAGGGCGTAGTTGTCGCAGCGTGGGCTCCACATTTGGATTACGAATTGCGACGTGGTCCGAATTGGAACACTTTGAGCTACAGGTGGCATGTCCTAGTCCCGTTGAATCGGGCCGAGAGTCGGCCGTGCTCATGCTGTTCTCTTACCATTGCAGCACACTGTACTATTAGGCGAAAGTGGTCAAACAGGTTGAGCATTTGGCAACGAAGCGGTGTTCAGTTGATTTTTCTTAAGACTAGTGTTGAATGTAATTCAAAATCAAGATCACAAGACTTCGTGACGCGTGGCTTGTTGTGAAGTAACAATGCATACGCTTATATGTGTGTATCATTGTATCATATCTACACCTAGGGGAAATCGTGCGGCTACAAAACAGAAAACAAGCGTGCCTCCATCATTCGTTATATCATCGCTCTGCAATTCCAGCAGCGAGCGTAAAAAGACGATCCTCCCATTTCTCTCCATCTCTAGTTCGCATCACCTATCGGAGTGAAAACGACCTTGGCACTAGGCTTGGGCAGGATGGTCGATCTCCAAGTGAACAAGCGCTTCGCCGTCGGGTCGACAAGCTCACAGTCGTAGTTGAGGATCACTTGGCCAAGAATGACCTTCATAACAGCCGAGGCATAGTATCTTCCTGGGCTACATATTCCGTTAGCAAGATCTTCATGTGAAACAGGAAAGATCAACTAGGCTCAAGACTTACCAGGCCATTCTTCCGGTTCCCCAGACATGGAAAGTCATGTCAAAGTCAGTCAGCTTTGTAGGCTTCTTCTGCATGATATTGAAAGCGCCATTAGCATTTTCGAGACTCTTGACGAGCTGCGGGTCGGCGAAGCGGAAACCACTGAAGGTTGTTGCCTCGGGGTAATCGACAGGGTTCGTCATGATGGCTCGAACGGGCGTGCAGAACCAGTCTCCGACGTTGACGTGGGTGCCGTCTTTGAGCGAGAAGGGTTGTAGTGCTGAACGACGTGTACTTTGTGACTCGACTGGTGTCAGACGCGCAGACTCCTTGATGAAGCTGTCAAGAAGAGGAAGTCCTACACCACTCTGTTCAAAAGCGGCATATTGAGACTCGCACTCCTTTCGCAGCGGCTCCGCATATTCGGGATGTAAGCAAAGGTCGTGAATAGCAAAGGTCACAGTGGTAGAGACGGCATGAACAGAACCGAACCAAATCGCCATCAGTTCGTGAACAACACGCTGAGGTGTCCATGGCGCATTCTTGGGTGAGGTCTCCATGATCCATTGGATGCAGTCGGCGTGTTGAGGGACCTTTTGGCCCAGTTTAGCTGCATCTCGCTCAATGCATCGCTCTTGTGCGATTGGTAGAAGCCTGTTGAAGATTGTGGCATGTGACTTGAGTGTACGGGCAATGATACCACCGACGATGGGAGCCATGAACCCAGGTAGCAGGCGGACAATCTCAGCACAGATCAGGGTCTCCTCGATGTATGCGAGGGCGGAGACCATGAATTGCTCATCCTTTGCCAGATCTTTTCCGAAGAAAGACACTGCATTGGATAGGACAACGAGCTTCACAGTCATGTGATATACGTCCGACTGCTTCTTTCCTGTCAATAATCGTCAGTTCGGATTCAAAGTCAAATATTGCATGCATTATTACCATTGATGACTGGGTGTGTGGCATGAAGCTCCTGGAACCTAGTGCGGATGATGCAAGTGAGATCAGGAAGGATCTTAGGCAGGTTGTTGGTCAAAAGCGTGCGAAGGGCGCGGATGAATCCAACACCCTCAGTACCACGCCGGTCAAACCAGTTGAAGCCGTGCCTGTGGAGCGTTAGTAAGCTTAATGCAAGACGAGCATCATCTAGATACTCAAAGGTCATCCTACATAGTATACATGGGCTGTAGCATCTACATCTTGTTAGTCATAAAGAAGAACAAAGCCTATCGAGATGCATACCTGCTTCGATGCTGCTTGGAGGGACAACACCGTGTCTGGCGCATTGTCTAGCTCCTTGATTTGCTGAGGATCAGAGACGAAGACATAGCGATTGTCCGGGGCGAAGAGCTCGAATGGTTTTCCCTTCGCCTCATCAAACGCTTTCTGGATGATCTCAGGACCCCAGAAGAGATATGCCCATGCTTTGTACCGCTTGGTGACAGGCCTGAAGATGGTCTTCAGGATCTTTGCTGGAGAAGAAGCCTATTCGACTGGTCAATGTGATGAAAGAGAGGAATATGTTTTGGTACATACCAGCTTCTTCGCGACCAAGGCCTTGTAGAAAAAGAAAATCGATATCAAACCGAATATGCTGCTCGCAGCATTGACTGCCAATGGGCTAAGGCCAGGCAGATGTATGCTCTGCATCTCTAGAAACTCCATGATGGCAGTAAAGTTTGAGAGTGAGAATTTAGATTGAGGCTAACGGACGTAGGGTATTTAGCATTGGTACATATACAAAGCAACCATCTTGACGGTGCTCTAGCTACAGGTTTTGCTACGCGGAACGGCCGGTTGAAGCGAACTGTTACATTACGTCTAAGCCTCTATGCAGTGAACTAAATTCGTTGTTAGTTAGTTGAACTGTGCCGCTGTCCTGCAGTAAAAACCGATCAATATCAGCCCACCTGCATGCTACACAAGCTGCATCACTTCATGTGAGGTCTCACCTATCGTTGTGTTTCGCTTTCGACAGAAAGGCGACCAACTGACCCTTCTCTTAGCGCTATCACAGCGTCTGCTATCCTAGAAAGTAAGTAGACCCGATGCAACTACAACAGAAAACACGAAGCGCATGCGTCCACAAAGCCGGAATAGCCAACGGACCGATCCACAAAGGTGTAGCGCGGGAATCGGGGAAAACGGTTGAACGTCTGGACGGGTCCGAGGCTGCGGCTCTAATTTGAGGCCAGTGCGCAAACGAGTGGTCGAATCAGAGCTAGATGAGGAAAGACTCCGTGCGCTAAATGACGGAAGAGCTTCTTGAGGCCCCCTGGCCGTTAATACGGCTAAATCATGCCGTAATCGTTGATTGATTGCTGTCAAAGAAGACGGCGAATAGGTACGTCTCCACGGCAAGTTATCGCGCTCCAGGATGACAGATGCAAAAGCGCGCTTAAGCAGTATTGCCCCACACGGCACCACTACCCAGACATAAGACCGACGGCCCGTGTCTGATTGGAGGACTGAGAGTCTAGTGGAGTCAAATCCGACGTCGGTCTTGAATCGTGATATGTACCTCAACTGCAACTAAAGACGCAACTGGGAGGAAAGAGTCTACTTACCGCTAATTCCCTGGCCGCAATGCTTCTGGGAAAAGGTCCTACTTCGGTCGTCCTTATGTGAGAGGCCAGGTGATCTAACACGTCTTCATGTCTCTAGGATCTCTTCAAGTCGTTGCAGGGTTTAATCGTCATCGCAGACGAATATATCGATAGCGGGTCGTAAAGGTAACATCGCGGGTAAGACTGTCTGCACGCAATGAATTCGAGGGCCCGCTTCTCCATAGGTTCCTTTTCACTCGATTATGCAACACTCTTCCCACGTGTCCGGTTCCAAATGACGCGGTCGCCCACTGGCCCGGCTTGGATCCCGGAAAACAATGCTTGCGCACGTGCGAATATGCATTGGCTTGATTATGGTGAAGCAAGTCAACGGGTTTCGTGTACATATCTCGAATGCTTTCTTGTTACATATTGAGATATACGAAGACGCTTGCATGTAGTAGCATGTCTTTAGCAGGACCGGTGAAGGAACCCGTAATCCATAACTGTAGCAGCTAGATCCAAGCGACCATGGTGTGCCTTGGCATGTATAATCGACTCCAGGCGAATCTACTGGATCTTGATCGGAAGATAGCGAGTAGTTGGGGCTTTCATGTGAAGGAAAGCTCCGGCCACAACTCGAGAAGCGACGAACTAGCGCGCACACAGCATACGTGTGCGCCGGGCGAAGATATCGGTGTTCGATACGGACCCATCTCCACATTCAAGTTCGAGATGCACTCAAACATCTGTATAGATCGCGCCATATGACGCAGCTCCTTCTGGCCGAGGTTTGTCGGATTGATAATGGTTGGGGCCAGTTTCAGACTACTTGGACCACAGCTCCACCATACTTTTGCACCAAACCTTTGGTTAATGGTCTTGTTCCCGACCCCACGCGATTCGCTCCTGGAGTGTGATCTCGAACCGACGTTATGGGTTTGACTAACATGTGAGATTAATCAAGGCCTCTGAAAGACCAGATGGTTGTGATATTGCTGTGGACGACCCCACGCCTATCCCAGATATGGAAGTCTGCCGACCCGAGCCGTGTGTGGAGCCGCGCGGCTGACGCACTGTCGTACAACCTTCCTCAAAGAGTGAAAACTACTGTGACAGTCTGTGCAAGTAGTCTGCAGCAAGTGCATTGCATGCTGCAACACCGGAGCAACTCTGCTACCCTGAAAATCATGCCGTTCTATGGCCCACTGAGCCGCGCCAGCACGATGGGTCGTCGGGGGCCTATCGATTGCAGAATTCGAGTTGGTAAGCCTTCGATGATTGGTTCGGTCAGCTCGGTGAACGCCGCAATTAACGGCATATTCGGTAGAATGTACAGGTTAGTAGCCGCGTCTGCAATCCTACAATCAATATATGCAAAGCAAAGTGCTAGCTTGTTGGAAAGACTCGGCTACTACATACCTGCTGCAAGGAATCCTTGCTCGTTTCACAGCGCCCAATAAATATCCGGTTTAACGCAGAGGCTGTCCGAAGAAACTTGGACGGCGGTACAACTCTTGCCGTTGAAGGCTCGTCGTGCTGGGCAGTGTACTTCAAGCGTGTAGATTGTCGAATACTCCTCATTGTTTCTATGACCTAACTCGGCCAAGAATGGAGCTTATCATCACGCCCACGCAAGCACTTGTGCCTTTGTCAGTCCTGTTCCTAGTATACCACGCAATTCGAGCATTGTTCTTCGGAAAAGCAGAATCAAAGCATTGGGAAGAGCTACCGGTCGTAGGCCTTCAGAAAGGATGGTTCGAATGGGTGTGGGCAACGTTGAAGTCCATTCGAAAGACACAGGACTGGGCGTTCGAAGGTTACCGCAAGGTATGATTGTCGTCGACATTGACAGAGGTATACTCATTCTCGCTACTGCAGTTTGCTGCCGTGAACAGCCCTTTTATTCTGCCTAGCATTGACAGAGGAGCGATGATCATCCTACCTCCACGTTTGATCAAGAAGGTCTACTCGCTCCCGGAAAGCACGCTCGACATCCATGCGACGCAAAGTGAGACCATTCAAACGAAATGGACAGTCTGGGACAAAGAGGTAGCCGACAATGACTTCCAGATCAACGTTGTGCGTCATCAGATTACACGGAATCTCGAGCACCTGACGCCGCTGATGGCCGATGAACTTGACAGAGGCTTCGAGCGGTGGTGGGGAGGTAAAGACGACACCGAGTGGAAGGAGGTCGCGGTATGGGACGCGTGCTTGAAGTTGATTGCCGGTGCGAGTAATGGCGCCTTCTGCGGCGCACCGCTGTGTAAGTCGGCAATAGTGCCTAACATGAGAGATTTAGAAACTGATTCTATCGTAGGTCGAGACGAGCAGTTTTTGAATGATCTTAGGGATCATGCGATGAGCATCTTCGCTGGCGCTATGCTTATCAACGCGACGCCCAAACCGCTCAAACCCGTCACTGGTGCTCTCGTAGGATCCACCTGCTGGTACTTGCGACGAAAAGCGATGAAGGGTTGTTTGCCTTTTGTAACAGAAAGATTAAATGCTACTGCCCAGTTCAAGGCTGATGCGAAATGTGGATGGACCCCACCCGTAGGATTCCCCCTTGCATGAGATATGCACATCAATATACTTACGCGATCCCAGAAAGACGGTCTCCAATGGCTGATCGACGAGTGCTACGCCGCAGCCGCGAAAGGAGACGTGGGGCAACTGGACCCGAAGCGAGTGGCACATCGTCTTTTGTTGGTTAACGACATTTCTCTGCATTCGACCAGCTTTACTGTACAGAATGTGATCCTGGATCTCTTCAGCTCGGATCCAGCAATGGGTTATGTTGATGCACTACGCGAAGAAGCTGCATCGGTGCTTGCCAAGGCAGGTGGTGTATGGACACGCGATGCAGTGCGAGATCTGAAGCTCATTGACTCGATGATCCGTGAGTCAATGAGACTCAATCCATTTGCGATTGTTGGACTTCCGCGAACAGTATGTATGCTGTCAGATACGATGGAACTGAAACTAATAAGACGCAGGTCGTGCATCCCGAAGGTATCCGACTTCCGGTGTCCAACGTTCATGTACCACAAGGAACCATGATTGCAGTTCCCATGGAGCCGATTCATTATGACGAAAGCATTTATCCTCAAGCACGCAGCTTCAACGCGTTTCGTTTTGCGGATCCGAACAACGTTACTAGTATTGTCGACAATTTCGCAACCAAGGATGATCTCGAAGCCACCAAAGCCGATGCAAGCGACCGTAAAGGCAAGTCCACTGCTACTCTTGATGACGCTTTCCTTGGTTTTGGGTTTGGACGGCATGCGTGTCCTGGACGATTCTTCGCTTTGAATGAGATGAAGGTCTTCATAGCACACATGCTGCTAAACTATGACGTTGAGCACATGGCAGTCAGACCAAAACCTCTGGATACTGTATGGCTGAAGCTTCCGTTACATGGTGGAAAGATCCGAGTGCGTCGAAGGCCGACAGTTGCGTAGATAGGACAAAACATGCTTTGCTTATCTGTGTATCGAGTGCAACCCTATAATCGCTACTTTGATGATACGATGTAATTCATGTGTATCTGCCAGAATAGGGAATTGTACCAACGGTAGAGAACAGTCGTGGGCAAGACATAGCCCGTTTGCCTGAGACGGATGTCGCTTCCTCGACCGCAACATACAGTTTCGTGCGGGGGGCCATAGCACCTAGAATCTGAGCCGAGGTGATGGATGCGTATCAGCGCAATCTACGCAGGATATGGTGGCTAAGCATGGGAATTAGCATTGTACGTTTCTGCTTGGTCTGGGTGGAAAGAAGTATCCCCCTGAGGAAGGAGCTAGACACCCACTACGAGCTTGACGCTAAGACGCATGACGATTCACACAAAGGCGGCAACGCGACAGACTAGGAGCGTTGGTGTGCAAGACGAAATCGGTGCATATTTCTTATGATTGCCATGAGCTGCTCAAACACTCCCGCACTAATTGTACGCGTGCTTCGAGACTGACCACGTGATTGGGTACTAGCGTATAACGAATGCCACGAACGGCAAGCTGCTTTCGGAACGCGTCGTTGATGTGCGTCCACTCTTCTGTTCCAGTTGGCATCAAGCGCGTCCCATCGTCGACAAGCCAACTACAGCCAGCTTCACATAGCATCACGACGCCCGCCTTCATACGCCGCTCGAGCTGTCCCCACTTCTCCGATGCCAGCATCTCTTGCGCCGCCTCCTCGCCCACGAACAGTTGCGCATATATGATGGGATCGAGACCGGAGCGGTCGGAAATATACCATGTTGCCCGAGTGTCGGGGCCGATGGCAGTCTGTTCGGCTTCATATTGCGCGTCGAGAATGTGCTTCTGGAGCTGCAACGCTCGCGACGGCGATGTAGTGATGTCGTCGCGGCTGAAGTGCTTGTCTCTCAATACCGTGCGCGCGACCTCCCGGATGATCACTGGCCTCGAGGACTTCCCTTGTAAATGATTGGATAATTCGCCTGAACCGAACATGTCTTCGAGTGCGTCCACAAGTGTCGTCTTTCCAGTGCATTGTGCACCGATAATGTAGAGGCACGGACTTTGGGCTACTTCACTTGCCATCTTGTCTATTGTCAAGGCTCAAGAGGACCTGCAAACGGGCAGCAGGCGGTGCCCTTATCATGAATTCGCGCTTGCTACTGTGGCGCGGTTGTGTAACGTCGCATATGCACGTGCAACCCTTTACGAATCACGCATACGCATGTGAGTCCTCACCCCGCATCATGCCATTGACTCTGCAAAACTGCGGGGCGTCATCTATCATCACCATGAGCAATGTGCGAAATTTCCGTGCTGTCATCCTACGAGAAGTCGATCCAGAAGCCACATCATGGGACTATCTCATCGACAATCTTCCTCAGGCTAAGCGTACAAATGCTGATGGACTAATCAAGTGCCTTTCCCTTGTTCTCTCTGATAAGAAGCAGGAATTTGAGCTGCGCTTTGAGAGGGCACCCTCCAACCGTGTTACGCGCAGGGAGCCACTGGACAAGCTGCTCCTGATCTCCTTCGCGGACTTTTTTCTGCGATGGCCAGCGAAATCTCCAGATGATCTGCCACGCGTAGCTACCGGCAGAGAGAACGGCGACTACATCACGAGGCTGCTTACTACTGGCGTTGTGCTGAACAGGGTCCATTACCATTTCTTTGGCCACTCAAATAGTCAATTGAAGTCGAGGTCATGTTTCATGTACGCCGCATCGAAGGAAGACATATCAGCCAAGATTGAAGCTATGGGGGACTTCTCCAAACTCAAATCCGTAGGCAAGAAAGCAAAACGGATTGGGCTTCTCTTCTCGAGCGCGGATAATGCTCTGATTCTGCCAGCAGAACGCTGCGAGGATATCCAAGATGTCAACCGGGATGATTACACCTTCACTGACGGATGTGGTCTGGTATCTCTCCAGCTTGCTCGACAGTTGGCCCAAAGACGCAACATAATATTTCGCAATAAGCGTTATCTACCTTCGGTATTCCAAATCCGATATCGCGGATACAAGGGCGTATTGACCCTAGATACCACCCTTCATGGTAAAATTCAGGTTCAGTTCCGAGAATCCATGAGAAAGTTCAAAGACGCGTCCGACCTTAGCCTCGCGGTTGTAGACTACTCCAGGGTTAGTCCGCTTCCATTCTTTCACTCCGCCTGGTTAACTTGATTTAGCCGTACGCTCTTGGTAGCCTCAACGATGAGGTGGTCGTGCTCTTACACACGCTAGGTATCTCTACAGACGTGCTTCTTGAGAAACAGCAGCAGCACCTGAGTTTCCTGAGCGACGTTAGCAGAGGTGATCCTAGGAAAGCGTTTCAGTATCTTTCGTATTCTGACAGGCTTGATGTAGCCGAGAAGCTTCTCTTGGAAGGTATTGAATCCGTCAGCTCACAGTTGAGAGCGTTAGTTCGGCAAGAATACGAGAGAACGCTAAACAAACGAGACGAACGGCGATGTCGAATCCTGATTCCCAAGTCAAGACTGCTCTTTGGCGTCTGTGACCCCACAAGCAAGAATGGTCAGCCTGGAAAGCTCAGAGAAGGGGAGTGCTTTTTACGGATAACCAACGATGGTAATGGCTTAGCGCAGACCATCATCAATACCGAGGTGATGGTGACAAGAAATCCATGTCTGCATCCAGGCGACCTGCAGAAGTTCAAAGCAGTAGACGTCTCAGGTTTTAGTCATCTAGTTGACTGTATCGTCTTCTCAACCCAAGGACGCAGACCGAGCGCTGATCTCATGTCTGGTGGTGACTTGGATGGGGACAAATGTAAATCTCTTCCTTGCATCTGGATGATACTCACTGATCACTACATCTAGTCTTCGTTACCTGGGATCCGGATATCATCCCGAGGACGATGGCGCAACCCGCTCAGTACCCCGGAGGTAAGGAGCTGGTCACTTTCGGGCAAGTAACCGGTGACGCCCGAGCTGAATACTTTGCTCGATATACCAATGCGTCGTTGGGGCAAGTCAAAAATCTTTATATGAAATGGGCACGTCTCGGGAACGCCATGAGGCCGGAGTGTCAGCAGCTCAATCGGCTCTTTTCACAATGTGTGGATGGAAATCACATCCGCATTCCTGAAAACTTCAAAGAGTTCAAGAAGCTCGAAGATCCTCCCGAACCTAAGGACACTGTTTCTCCTTTCATCCTGGACGTTTTGCACGCTGCTTGCACCCAATCCATTCTTCAAGCTGACAACATACGACCCGATGGTAGCGAGGAAGTCGATGTAATGGAACTATTCCTTACACGAGACAAGATGGCGATAACTGAATTTGAGTTGCTGCAGATTGTGCTGCGTTGGTGCGAACGTTCTGGCAAAGATGTCCTACAATACACCCATCTCTTCGATTTCAGTGCCTTGAGCGATGAAGAGCGGATCTGGCTTCTAAACTACCTTCCACCTTCTGCGACTATGCCAAGTCTGGTACACAATGGACTCCTACAGTCGAACCTGGTCACCCCCGAGGAACTGCACAAATTTCACCTCGACCAGCCGCATCTGCATTGGAAGCCCGTCTTCAGATCTTCTGTCGACCGCATGGGGAGATTCCTACCTACCATGTTGCAAGTGATAGAAACCTTCCACAAGAAGTTGATCGTCTTATCGGTAGACGAACGGCTTACTGTGGCGATCTATATACCAAAAATCATTGAACGAGCAAGTGAGGTGCAAGTAAATACGAGCGTCAGGTTCTTCGCTTTCCCACATTCCCAAGGACTACAGTCACCAAACTACAAGGTACTGCCGACCAAGGTCAATTACAGACTGTTTTGCGATGAGCAAGTCTTTCAGTTGTACGAACGTCAACGGAGTAACACGTGGGTCTTCTTGAGGCGTCCTCAGGCCGACGATTCTTTTTACCGAAGCGAGAAGAATCAAGGCGACAAACGCAGAGCAAGGGAACGCACTGTGCGAGATGGAACCAACCATGACTGCAAAGCAAGCATTGCTCTAGACAAAGTCAGCCGAGGACTTCAGCAGCATATCGGTAAAGTGAAACAGAATGGCGTCTTGGGTGCGGTGAGCCAACGCTCCCTGTATTGAGTGTGATCTGATCTGTGTAATACTGACAGAAAACAGGAGATATACGTGATCAGCAACAGAGACGTCGACTCGATGCAAGTACTGGATGAGTGGCTAAACTTCGTCGATACTGACGAAATTCTACCACTATTCGAAAAACTATCCATGGACTACGAAATTTCTAAGCTACACTCTACAAATTGGGACAACTTCTCAGAGGAAGTGGTAGCCGTGGTTCGCGACCAAGATTTTGCTCATCTTCGAAAACTGGAGTCGTTGGCAGAGCTGCGGACTATCCTTGATTTGCTCAATGACCATGGTGAAAAGAAGATGCTGTTCGACACATTTTCTCATCTTCTTACATTGGAGGCAAGCTCGTCACTTTTGCTAGATCACAATCAAGTAGCATCAAACCTGCTCGACTTCCTGCCGAACGCGGCATACCTCATCCCCGCATTTTTCCGATCCCAAACCTGGCGGACTCATAAGTCAGTATTGGAGGACAACCTCGTCCACTTGGCTTTCAGGTTACTGAGACAGCTCGTTCTTCTGTCGCAAGATATGGGCAGCTTCATTCGGCGTCCGATTCAAATACTGTTACAAGAATTAAGATGCATCTCGCTACATGAATTTGCCGAGCTTGTGGAGCTCATTTCTCTCACCGTTCGCTCTTCCGAAACTGCTTTGGATCTTCTCCTCGAAGTTCTAGAGCCGGAAAGCTCACGGCTTCTAGTTCAACGACCAACTGCCATTCGACAATTCACGTCGTCTTTATTTGGCATCGCGCTTGATCATATAGACGAAGCGTCTCGGAGTGATAACCTGCATTCACAGGAAAATCTCAACCTCAGCATTGATAGTTACAGTGACGCCTGTACGATAGTCAAGAGCATACTCCGTATCGACTCCTCTTTGAATTCGATACTCAAAGCTGGAGACCACGTTCGGCTCACGGCATCCGACGCGCCGCGGAATGCAGCTGACGCGAAGCTGCTCTCTATGGATGCGGTTGTATCGTCTGCTGAATTAGGCAAAGCTACGTTTCGATGCCTCCATCACCCGCCGTTGTATCTTGACAAATGTGGATGGAGAGTTACACATTGTGGATCGTTCGTTACCGCCAAGGCCTCATTCGACGCTGTAACCGCTTTTTACACGGAGCGTGAAGCTTGTACCACAATCTATCCAATGCTTCTTGGTCTTCCTCCAACAAGACAAGGAAGACCGACTGACGTCGAGCTACCGTTGACTGTTGACACATCACTGAACGAGAGTCAGAGTGCTGCGCTGATGGCTTCGATGAAACATTCATTGACGTTCATATGGGGTCCTCCAGGAACAGGAAAGACGCATACGATTGTTGTTATCATAACCCAGCTGTTGGAAAAACTGCCTGAATCAGGATTTCTTGTGACGGCGCCAACGCAAAATGCAGTAGACAACTTACTGAGGAGGTTTGTTAGCTGCTTTGGTGCAAAGAAAGGTGGAGTCCTGCCGATCAGGGTGTCAACACAGGTAAGTGCTGTCACCTCAAACGGTCTGAGCAGTCCTTCTAACATCGTGACAAGCTTTCTAAGGTCGCTCAAGACCTACGTGCATACACGTGTGATGCCATGCTGGGTAAAGATCTCGGCGCAAACATGCCCGCCCGCCGTAAAGCGCAGAAGCGCATCAAAGACGCACGTCTGATATTCACAACCTGTACTGGTGCTGCGTTAGGTTTGTTAAGGAACGAACACTTCGATGTCGTTATCGTGGACGAGGCCTCACAACTCACGGAACCCGCTACCCTTGTGCCTCTTGTGAAAGGGTGTTCGCGTGCGATACTAGTTGGAGACCACGTTCAGCTCCGCGCCACGGTCCAGCAGAATGCTGTCTTGACAGGTTACGACATCTCGCTTTTCGAACGCCATTACAAACTACCGCCAAGAGAGGACGTTGCCAAAGTCATGCTTAATATGCAGTATCGCATGCATCGCTCCATTTGTGACTTCAGTTCTTCCGAATTCTACGATGGGAAACTTCACACTGCTGTGGCCGAAGACGCGCGTCCTCTGAGTCGTTCGCTTTTTCCCTGGCCTAAGAAGAACCGCATGGTCTGGGTTGAGTGTCCGGAATCTGAAGAACTGTACTGCCAATCAAAATGGAACGTTGGCCAAGGCGTAATCTGCAAAAGTATCATCGAACTTCTCAAGACACCACCGCCGTCTCCAAAATCGACTGCGGCTGCGACAGTTCCTGGCGAATCCCCATCTATCGTCATACTGACACCCTACAATCGCCAGAAGGATTTGCTTACGTCCGAAATCCCCAACGTCGAAATCTGCTCTATCGACAGTTTTCAGGGTCGTGAGGCAGATATCATTGTGTTTGTCACTGTTCGGTGCAATGTTTATTACGAATTAGGCTTCCTGGCTGACATGCGACGATTGAACGTAGTCATGACAAGGGCGAAAGCTGGGATTGTGTTGATCGGGCACCAGAATACACTGGCTGGTGTAGAAGCTGGAATGGTTGAGAATGAGAGTAAGCTGGTTTGGAGGAGACTACTAGGACAGTGTGGGGTTGTGTCCTTGGCAGCTCGAGCCGAGAGTTATCGTTCCAAACGTTGATGTGGAGTATCGTTTACCACCTTCCTCTTCAGATTGTACTTTTGATCTGAGGCGGCAATTACCCACTGCTACCTTCGGCTTCTCTCCTTCTTGCAATCCTTCATGACTAACATCCGACCTCATCCTGCGTCTGTTGCATGAAGGAGTCCAAGCGAGACCCACAGTAACCTCCGCGGAGCCGTCGGGAGTCGGCAGCCAAGCCGTACGGCAACCTGTCACTGACATTTCATGGGTGTTGGCGAGACGAAATTTCCCTGTGCTGCATTGGCGTGTAGCTGGCCCGGGCCAATAATTGAAGCATAGTGATCAATACGCCAGTGCTTCAGGTCCAGCAAATGGCTCCTTCGATGCTACCTAGGTATCTGCCGCCTTGGCTTTCAGCATGGCCTTTGCAAAGTTGAACTCGGTACGAGGTAGACCATCAAAAGTCAGATCCACTACTAAAGTCCTAATTTTGGTACTCAGCCATGTCAAGAATTGCATAGTAAGAGCCATCCTTGTTAACAATGACCATTAGTACACAAAACTAGGCCTCTAGCGGACCCAGAGGTATATTCTTCATCATCGTGGCCACGTTTGTTAAGATGTTCAAATGTAATTGTCTCGCGGTAGGCTTGCCTAATCTTTTCGATTCGAGAGCTGATGTAGGTTCTACGGACGCTGTACCACGCTTGACGGAGTGATGCCTACGCCCTTGTCAATCTACCTCAAATCTTTGTCTTGATCTCTATGTATCGCCGAGATCGTAGGCTGGTTTTGCCGCCCGCGCCGGCTCACCCGCATCCTCGTACTCGACCACCAGATGCTGCGTTCGCGTGATGCCGGAGCTTTGCTTGACGTTCTGGCTCTCGTCACTGCCGGGTCGATGGTTCGGGCCCAGAATGCTGTCCTGGCTATCGTGGCCCAGCGTCCCTTCAGAAACACCCGACTTCCCATGTTGCTTTGTTGACCGAAGAGTCTTGCTTCCGATCGTTGCGAGCTTCAACCCAGATCGATCATTCGATTTGTAGCCACCTCGGTCCCGCCCACCTCCCAAACTACTAAAGAGGCCGTGGCCAAGGAGTTGGTCGAACAGTGGCTGTAATGTTGGTATGCATGCGCCGATGATGATAGCATTACCCTCGATACTCGTCCAAACGGTAATATCGGCCGTATCGTCTATACAGTAGTTTCAGCATCTATGATTGACCTCGAACGCGGCTCTACTCACAGCTAAAATCCGCGCTCGCAAGCGCAGGTAGCCGAGTCGATTTATACACAGCTACAACTGCGGCACTAGGTCAAGCGTGAGCGAATGTTACCACATAACATATGCGAGCTTACATGGAACCTAGCCCAAGCGCAACGCTAAGGACAACCTTTTTCTTGAAGTTGATTTGCAGTTTATAAAGGACAATAGCGGGATATATGGCGAGGTAGAGATCCACTATGGCGGAAAATGCTTCACGATGGTCAGTTATTGGCCTGGCTTGCTCGTGGGAGACATACTTCCGGCTACAATGGCGTAATATATCAGAATCCATGGGCTCCAGCAGGTGCCTTGGACGGAAAAGTCCCACTGCGATCGAGTTGGCGTGCACTGCGCGAAGATGATAATAACACAGCCGAATAGGATTATCAAGCAACCACCAGATATACTCCACAGGATTATCTTGTGTCTCTTGCTAGGATTGGTGATTCTCGTCAGGAGCGCGACCACAGCTAGTTTAGGAATAGCGAACGAGAGTATCCCGGGACAGAAGCCTGCGAGGGTGTACAAGATTGCGCCGGACTTCTGTTCATCGGAGAGCAGAGCGAAGTGACGCCCGTTGCCAGCCTGCACAGCTGCTATAGTGAGGCCAAGCATGATGTAGCCACACATCTGTTCGAAGCGTCAGCGGGTTGGGTCCGTTACGCATGCTTCGATGAGCACTTACCATTGACAAGATGATCAGCCAATCGTCAAGACCCATCATTGACAGTATTCTGCATCTGACATAGAGTCTCGCAGCAACGAAAATTGTAGCGACTGTCGTTAGTGCGATGCATACCGCCAGAACCATAGGCCCCTTGTCCTCGTGGGCGAGTTCCGGGGGGAGTTCTTGTGCTGCTGCCATGATGCAACAAGCAAAGATGCCAAAATGAAAATGAAGTGATCGCAGTATTACTGCAGCATACGCCCTTGGATCTGGGTTTGATATTCGCCCAACGGGACGTCAGACGCTCAAGCGTCTTATGCATTGCGCGTGCGAACAAAAGCATTGTTGCCTTCTGACTGGGGGCTCCGATTTGAGACGACTGCATACTCACAGCAAGACAAAGAGATCCCATCAGGCCATGGGCCGCTTTCTGAGGTAGGGGTTGCAACGATCATCCAGTGCTGAGCCGCTCTGGTGGACTAAGGTCCCACATGTATTCGCACGTACATCGGTTGCATGGATGCGACGAAATTGTGCCATGATTGCATACAACATAAGGTAGATTTTTCCAGCTTCGTGTGGACAACGTGACTTCCGTCGTTGTTTTCTCGCGCAATAAGGAGCAAGGAACAAGCTGTGATTAGTACGGAGTATGCTGCTAGGCAATGGCGGTATCCGCTTGGTCGCTCACTGACTGACGGATACCATAGAACGACTCCTGGAGCAAGCGTTGCGGCGCTTGGATCAGCTGGTTCGGTATCCACATGCCACTGGTTCCGAAGCGGTTATTGCCTTGGTCGCCGTGCCGCACCCTTCTTCGGTTCCAGTGCCACGGGCCGTATTGTGGGTTTTGGTCCACATCAAGTCTTTTCTCAGCGTCATTCGCATTATCCTGCGCAAGTCGAAACATCCGTTCCCGCACATGCCGCGTGCCGGGTATCTATTCCATGGCGGCATCTGTATAGCCTTCTCTTGCTGATCTTTTAGAGTTCTCAAAGACCTTCTAGAAATACCAACCAACGCGAGACCTGATGACTGACGCAGAACAATCACGGTTGACCACCTGGCGCCCATGGAGGAACCGGAGCTAATCCTAGAAATTCGTATCAGGTAATCCCTTTTACCACCGGAAAGCCATAACGATGATGCCAAGATGGGATACAGCATTGAAGTGGAGATTAGGCCTACTGACTTTACCTAAATGTCTCTCCCCTTGGTCGAAGTACGCAACTCTGGCTACGAATGCTCCGCGGACTCACCATCGCTCTGCCGGCGTATGCCAACTCAAGCTATCATCTACATCGGGTTGTTGTTCCCGTCCGTCATGGCATCCTTCTCGTCTGATAAGGTGGTGCCATGAATCAAGAGCTGTTAACCATGTTGGCAATGGTGTAGTGCATCTCTGTGGCAAGGTTGACTGGAGAGAACGGACTCGGACTTATAAGGGAAAGAGAGCACCATCATCGTCTCCGGCAATACATTAAACACATTTGGGATCTTTTCACCCTTACCATTATCCACTGTTCCGCCACCCCTTCTTCATAACGTTGGATCGTGTCTAAACTTTTGCAAAGATGCTGGTTGACGTCAGCATTGCAGTACGTGCGAACGATCCAGGTGCCGTTCCATGCCTGCTACAGAAGCTTTCGGAATTCGGGGGTAAACCCTCTGTTGATCACAATGATACTCGTATGGCAATGCTTTCGCACGCCAAAGCTCTTGTCAGGGCGTTACAGACTCCCCGCGAAACCATGATTGAACAGAATTGGGCGCAGGTATGTGTTGAATCGCTGTTCGCCTCGCCTGAGCTAAGCTGTGTTACTAGCCGGGTTGCCATACTGCCATCACAACTTGCTATAATGCAGGTGTGTTCGGAGTGCTCGGAGACCAACCGATGAAGGTCGATGACATTGCAAGCAAGCTCGGGAAGCCTCGCGAGCTCTTAGGTGGGCTCTCATGTTGGCAAATCGTTCCGTTTACTCGCTTACACTGCCAGCTCGCTTGATGAGGCACATCGCAGCCATGGGTTTCATCACTGAGACAAATAGTGATGAATACAAGGCCACAAACTTTTCGAAAGCATTGACCATACCTATCATTGGAGATGGCTACCCAGCCCTGTAAGTGTTGTGGCGTGATTGACGCAATGTTAAGATGAGTACTGGGCTAATTAAATCAGTGCTGGTGGAGCCCATGAGTCTTGCAGCAAATTCTCACAATATTTGGAGAAGAACAATTACGAACTCACTACCGATATCACAAACGGACCATACCAGTACGCATTCGGGACGGAGCTCGATATGTTTCGGTATCTGGATACCCATCCGCCTTTGGGACAGCAATTCAATAACCACATGGGTGGCTATCGGCAGGGTCGACCAAGTTGGATGGATAGCAACTTTTACCCAGTTCAAGAGCAGCTCATCCGTGGCATGGACACCTCCAAAGACGCTGTACTATTGGTAGACATCGGCGGAGGCTACGGTCATGATATCCAAGAGTTCAGGTAGGATGTCGTGCAAGCCTAAGTCTGACTCGCCTGCTGACGATACATCCAGAAACAAGTATCCTCAAGTCCCTGGTAGGCTTGTGCTACAGGATCGCCCGTCCGTTATCGAAGGAATTGAGCAACTGGATCCCATCATCGAACGTATGGAGTACGATTTCTACCTCGAACAGCCATTAAAAGCGGCTCGAGCATACTATATGCACTCCGTGTTGCACGACTGGCCCGACGATGTGTGCAGGAGCATTCTGAAGCAGGTTGCCGGCGCCATGAAGCCAGGTTACAGCAAACTGCTGATCAACGAAAACGTCATTCCAGACACGGGTGCAGACTGGCAGGCCACCGCCTTGGATATGATGATGATCACACTCTTTTCTTCAAAAGAGCGGACGTATACCCAGTGGAGCCAGCTGTTGGAGTCACCCGAGATTGGTCTTAAGATTGTGCGTGTTTACAGTGTCAAACATTCGCAGGAGAGTCTGATTGAGTGCGAACTGGCGTGAATGTTCGACGGCTGAGATGGGAGTCATTCAGACATCCGCAAGAAGTGACATCTGCAAGACATACCCACATGGCCCTAGTTCTTTCCTGAGACTGCGCACAATACATGACTTAGGCTTGAGGCAGTTCCTTGCACGTGTCTGATCTAGCTCTCTGTCGATCTTGCGTGTGGTTTGCGCCTTCCACTATAATACAGGCTGACAATACCACAGACAGCTGCTGCGCACTATCCAAGCATGAAATCTCTAGTGCACTAGCAATGCAAAGATATGTAGATCTTGCTCGCTATGCAGAATTGATTGTCGTGATGCCGATCCAGAAAAAGGAAGGTGTAGAGCCGGCGACCATTGAGAAAGCAGTGACATATCGAGGTTCTCTATCGGTGACATATCGTTTGTGAATTCGCCAACCGTATCGCCACTCACTTATTTACACGGGCAGGAATTGCGCCTTGTATACCAGATGTAAGGGGAAACGGTTTGCATCTTGACTTTCCTCGTGCGATCTTTTCCATAGGAGACTTCATCAATCACAACTTCAACATGGCCTGTGGGGGAGGCTGCTGTGGCCCCAAGAGTACAACCGCAGCTATTGTCAAGCCAGAAGTTAATCCTGGAGTGCTCACGGAGGCGGCGACGGAAACGACAAGTAACGCAATAGCGACGACGCAACCTGCAGTGGATGCAACACTGACGCCTTCCGATTCCGAACCTACAGCCTCTTGGCCTGCTGTCGCCAACCTGAAATATGCCACAATGCAGCCGAAAGGTTCATGCTGTTCACCTTCAGATCCTACGAAGTCAGACACGTCGAAGTCTCCGTGCAGTCCGTCAAAGCCAGCAGCAATTCCCAAGCCAAGCACTTCTTGCTGCTCAAGTTCAACACCTGTGGGACCAAAGCCAGCCAGCGCATGTTGTCAGCCATCGGACTCTCAGAAGTCGAGAGCATCTGAATCTTCCTGTTCTTCATCAACACCCAAAAAGCAGGAGGCACCCAACTCCTGCTGTTCGTCACCAGAATCTGTAAAGCCAAAGCTTACCAGCTCATGCTGTTCGCCGTCAGGATTCGTGAAGCCGAAGCCAGCAACCCCATGTTGCAAATCACCTACGCCGCTCGAAACGGAAATCAAGGCGTGCGGCGACAGCAGCAGCAGTTCGACTAAGGCTGATCCTGAACCTGCTTGCAGTGCCGACGCTACGGATGGCTGCTGCGCAGACGATGGGTACAGTGTCCCTGCAGACACCTGTGCCAGTAGCTGTTGCGAACCTGGGCGGAGTGATTGCGCGGGCACGACTACGAAAACATCGAGAGCATCTTGCTGCACCTCGTCACCCCAGGCATGCGCAACTATCGGGGCCGAGACATCATGCTGTTCACCCACAAACGCTTCCAAACGCTGCCCTGACAAAAAGGTAGCCCTGATCGACGCGACTGAGATTGCGAGCGGTTCGGATAACATCGACCTGGAGAAGGGCGGCGTTACACGTGAACACCTTGTCATCAGCGTATCTGGCATGACCTGTACAGGATGCGAGACAAAGCTACAGCGAACACTGGGTAGTCTCGACTACGTCAGCAAACTTCAGACCAGCCTGGTCCTTGCCCGCGTCGAGCTCGATATCAACACCAAGCTTGCGACTGCCGACGATGTGGTCAAACATCTCCACCGCACAACCGAGTTCAAATGCGAGATCGTTTCCAACCAAGGCTGTAGTCTGGATCTTATCTGTTCGGGAGACCCAGCGGCTTTTGTCGATGGGCAGTGGCCGGATGGAGTGTCAGACGTACGCCGCCTAAACAAAGATACAATCCGTGTGGAATACGATGCGAAGATTGTGGGGGCGAGGGACTTGATGTGTGACGAGTGGAGTCGGTCGTTGCAACTTGCACCGCCTTGTCCAGACTCTTCTTTGGAAGCTGGCAATAGGCATGTTCGAAACATGGGCTTGTTGACGTTGCTCTCTGCCGGATTGACCATTCCCGTACTGGTCATGGCATGGGCACCTCTTCCTGAGCGCGAGATTGCTTATGGCTCCGCGTCACTCGCCCTCGCTACTGTCGTCCAAGTTGTCATCGCCGGTCCTTTCTACCCGAAAGCGCTCAAGGCATTGGTGTTCTCCAAGGTCATTGAGATGGATCTGCTCATTGTACTGAGTACAAGCGCCGCGTACATCTTCTCAGTTGTTTCGTTCGGCTACCTAGTCAGCGGAAACCCTCTATCAACGGGCGAGTTCTTCGAGACAAGTACGCTGTTGGTGACACTCATCATGGTCGGACGATGGGTGGCATCGTTGGCGCGACAAAAAGCGGCAGAGTCCATCAGTATTCGTTCCTTACAAACCCCTACTGCCATGCTGGTCAGCGACGACGGGATGGAGAAGGAGATCGATGCTAGGATGTTGCAATATGGAGACATCTTCAGGGTCGCTCCAGACTCGCGCATTCCGACAGACGGTACCGTCATCTCGGGTTCTTCGGAAATTGATGAATCGATGTTAACGGGCGAGGCTCAGCCCGTTGAGAAGCACACCAAGTCGGCCGTTATTGCAGGAACCATCAACGGAAGCGGAACGCTTACCGTCCGCCTAACCCGTCTGCCTGGCGATAATACCATCACGACGATTGCGGGTATGGTTGACGAAGCAAAGCTTTCCAAACCCAAGATTCAAGAGATTGCCGACACTGTAGCCAGCTACTTCGTCCCTGTTGTAGTGACCCTGACAATCATCACTTTCGTCATCTGGGTCGCCATTGGGATTGCGATACGCCATCAATCAGGCTCAGAAGCGACCATCGAAGCCATCACGTATGCCATCACAGTCCTAATTGTCTCGTGTCCTTGCGCTATCGGTCTCGCGGTTCCTATGGTTATCGTGATCGCGTCCGGCGTCGCAGCGAAGCGCGGTGTTGTCTTCAAGACGGCAGGTAGCATCGAAGTCGCGTATAGAACGACCGACGTGGTGTTCGACAAGACGGGTACCTTGACAGCAGGAAAGCTGGCGGTGGTGCATGAGGAGTATGTTCAGGGTGGTAGTGCGGATGACGCCAAGTTACTTTTGGGTTTGCTTGGCAATGTCAAACACCCCGTGTCGGCGGCCATTGCAACACATCTCGCGTCGCGAGGTCTATCAGCTACAACCGTACCAGACGCCAAGGTGGTCACCGGCAGAGGTGTCCATGGGATGGCCAATGGTAAGAAGCTACGCGCCGGTAACTCGAGATGGCTTGCGCTTTCCGAAGATCCGCGTGTCCGCTCCATGCTGTCCCAGGGTTTCACCACCTTTTGCTTCACCATCGACAGCACTCTAGTAGCTATCTATGGTCTGCAGGACACATTACGACCAGACGCAGCATCCACCATCGATCATCTCCAACGCAGCGGCATCAACGTCCATGTACTGTCTGGCGATGATGATGGCGCTGTTAAGGGGATTGCCTCACAGCTCGACGTACCAGAAGAGAATGTTCGCTCTCGTTGCTCACCTGCAGATAAGCAAACTTATATTCAGAGCCTTCTCGCAGCACCTTCAACAGCTCTTCTGACTGGCAAGTCCCGCAAGCCGATTGTCATGTTCGTTGGGGACGGCACAAATGACGCTGTTGCCCTTGCTCAGGCCACAATCGGCGTTCATATGTCGAGCGGTACTGACATCGCACAATCCGCTGCCGATGTAGTTCTTGTCCGTCCTAGCCTGTCAGGCGTACTGACCATTATCAATGTGAGTAGGAAAGCGATACATAGAATCGTTTTCAACTTTAGCTGGAGTTTCGTATACAACACTTTCGCTGTACTGTTGGGTGCGGGCGCCTTTGTGCACGCGAGGATTCCGCCGGAGTTCGCGGGTCTCGGGGAACTGGTCAGTGTACTACCTGTGGTGTTGGCAGCAGTCTTGTTGAGATGGTCGAAAGTCTAAGGATCGTGGCATATGTAAATCGCAGTTAACGTGTTACGAGTTGAACAATGTCACGTCATGTATCCAGAATGCAATGTAGACAATGGTTCATGTTCTCTTACAAAACTACACTACTCAAACATGCAGAGTCTAACGGGGTATCATGCAACTCGACAACTGCCTTCCCAGCATCCGGTTCCCTTAGGGTAGGAGTTTCTGCTCAAACTCATGTCGCTCGCGGTACTTAGCCAGAGCGATTGGGACTTCTCCGCTGTACCCCAGTTCGCCTTGCGCCTTTTCTAATTTCCTTGTCACTTTGCCTACCAGCCGTGCGATCCAGCGATCGTTGGCCATGGCATGTACAGTGTTCTGGCCAGCTTTTCGCATGCCCACCATAGTCTTGTTTGATGCTTCTTTGAAGCCAGTGTCAACCTTCTTGAGGAATGCTTTGAAGCTCTTGTCCTCATTACCATTCAGCGTGGTCTGTGACATTTCGCTGTTATTAGTATTGACTGAAGCAAGACTGCTTGCTTCGCTATCAGTAGTGCTGACACGCTTCAGTTCGCGTAGAACTTTGGCCTCCTCAAAGTCCTTGTCCGACTCGATGACTTTGGTAGCTTTCACGATCGCAGCGACGAAGTTAAGAAGATCTTGATGGAATTGCGCTGGGAGGTGAGCATGTGCACTAACGTGCATGGACGCTTCGTCTTTCTTTAGCTTTTCAAGCTCTTTCCGAGCTAGGATTTGCTTTGGCGTAGGTTCGGCTTCGTTGATGGCAGACTCCATCTCCAAAAGGTCGAAGTCGCTCTTCTTCTCAGGGAAGATGTGCTCATGGTGTGGAAATAGGAACATTGGAATTGTGAGAACGGCATCGGCACCTCCTAACCGCACAACTTGCTTAAGCTCGACGGCGTCTGGGAGGATTCTGTAGGCCATGACGTCGGAGATCTTGAAGTGAGTCTGAATGTTGTAATTGGTGTTGATGGGGAAGTGGGCTTCGCTAGCCATCGGGCCCAGCTCTACAGCGAAGTTGGCATCTGCGCACCAAGCTGATATCCGCGCCTCCAATCTACGAATCTCCGCGTCTTGGGATGAGTAGTGCTTGAAAAAGTACTGTCGCATCAAGGCCGTGAACCACTTCCCTGACCCAGCTGCAGTAATGGACTTGAACTTGACAGGATGGAAGTAGCAAATGGGACTCAGCATCAATCGGTATAGGAAAGGCAACCGATGTAGAAATTTCTTTACGTTCGGGTATGATGTTTTCCGAAGAGTGGAGACTCTGATCGATTTGGTAGGTGGGTGAGGTATGGATGGTTGTCCATGGATCTGGGTACATATTGCTGCTCGGAAGTCATCCATGTTATCAATGTCCAAGCGGACGCCTGGCTCTTCTTTCGACTTCTTGGCATCTTTGGCGTCTTTTTCGTCATCGGATGAACCAGCCTCAGCTCGTGCTTTCGAGGCCTCTACCAGTGTCTGTTTCGCCTTTGTAATAGCACTTGTGTCGTTGATGTAGCGTACTAGCTCTTTGTACTTCTTATGGGCCTGCTCTTCATCTGGTGACACTTTCTTAACGGACGAGAATGCGGATGCAGTATCTTCAGCCTCAATTGGCTTTTTTCCAGCTGTCAGGTTTCGGACCATATCAGCCGGGCGGCCATTGGCTCCCCCTTTCATTGTCGCTGCTCTGAGAATAGCCGTATTGGTGACAACCACGGAATCGTCGTCGTCTGGCTCCGGGATACCATACTGCACATCCCCAAAGGTGACTTCCCAATCCCCACCCTTCACATTCGCATAGACGTCGTCAACAGTTATCTCTCGGAACAGTGGTACCGTAACTTTATCAACTTGAATGCCAAGCTCGATATCGTCCGAGAGCTTTATGCCAGCCTCGACTCCATGAGCAACGAGTGTCATTGTTGAAAGCGAAAGCGTAACCCCGCGGATTACGAAGAGTCCCTTGACTTCGGTGTCGATTTCCAGGGCAGGCAGATCAAAAAAGGCTACTTGATCGTTGATAAAATGGAGGTCTCGTAGGAACGTCTTTCGTAAAGTGCGACGTGCCAGTGCAGCAGGTGCTTCAAATTGGAAGAGGCAGGTAATGAAGAGTACAGGCCAACAAAAAGCCCAGAATACCCAGTACAGAAGCCACGAAGTCGCACATACGGCGTACACCAAGTTTACTGTCGCGAAGATAGTCCAGACAGGAACAAAAGGCAGGATGCGATGCCCATACGCCTCGCCAAGTAGGATTGCGTAGACGAATATGGGCGCTCCGGAGATGACCCATCGCAACGGCCAGGAGAAAGAAAGTGCTGCTAGGAGGGTTCCGGCGAGGAAGGCATTCGGTATCAGTCTGCTCGTAAGTTCTCGCCCTTGTTCAATCGATGGCGCATCTGTAGTCGGCGAAGGAACCGCTTTTCGTTTGGAAGCGGCCGGCGCCTCACGTTTTGCGGTGGAATCCATGCCGTGGAGGCTGCGGAAAGTGTAAGAGGAATGTCACAGGTAGTAGAAATTCCGATGGAGAGAATGCATGGTGTTTGTGGCATACGACTAGTGCAAGTGCGAACGCGGCGGTCATCAAGCAACTGGTTCTTGTGACGTCATGGTCCTGTTCGAGACTACCCCCGCACAAAAAGAGGCAAGAGCACTCCGGGCCAGACCTGATTTGTCGCTGAAGGGGGTATGATGAACGATATGGCTGGCCAAGGCATTTTTGTATAACCGTTGGATCACCGCTTGCAGCATGCCGATCGCCGTCTTGAAAGCCTGCCTTGCAAGGTTTCCATGTCGTGAACGGTGACGTAAACGCGCTAGTACTCGTTCGTCATTGCGATATTGACATCCGCGTCTTGCCAGATTATTTCCGTAAACGGTCTATGTATGGAGAGAGCGTATACATTGTTTGGGGACGATCAGTTCATTTTCTATTCATGTACGACCTGGCGGAATTCCACCCCAGGTCCCATTTGAGAACCATGTGCCTGCTCTAGTGAAGTCGCTGTATGCTACGCTGCCGAACAACTGGTAGCTAATAAATCCAAACCGGAAATATTCATCCTGCCCACCGTCTGACCGATTCCAAGTGAAGTTACCTTGATCACTCCCACCAGAGCCACGATATCTCTCTACATCGTTGACCACCACACTCACGCCCTGGTATCCGCGGAGTAGGCTCTCCCATGCGAAGGTGATGCTCGAGCCATTAATGACAGGCTCAAGAATAGCTGGGATACCCGACCCGAGCTGTCCATCCCCTCGTAACGCCGCTGCCGTTTGTAGGATGGAATCGAAGTTCCAGCGTGCAACACCGTTAACGAACAGTCCGACCAGCAGACCTTGGCACAACAAGCTCACGCGGGTCTGCAGCGCGGTGCCTGGAAGGAGTAAGAGAGCAATGATGTAGTGGTGTATCCTAAGTGTGAGTTTCGGCATAGCAGCGAGTATACCCAGGCCAAGGCCTAGTGTAGCATATAATGCAAGATAGCGTGGCAGTCGCCCTTCCCTGCGGAAGCACCATGCTTGGTATAGAACAACAGCGAACAGGATAATCACAATGATTACCAATGCTGTGATAGCGCCCGGTTGTTGGCGGATGTCGTTTCCTGTGAGCCGCTGTATGGGTATACGTTCAAACGTATAGTTCCCTAGTGCGCCAACCCAAGCCCCACCTACCCAGAGCACGGTCTTTTCAACTTGTGCCTTGCAATTGCGCAGGGATTTGCGGACACTGAATTGATAGAAGAGGGCGGCAGCTAACGCAGCGGGCAAGAAGCGGCCGAGTGTTGTAGAAGCCAAGGAGGCGTAGTTCGAGTACGAAGGCGGATCCGATGCCATACCAGTCTGGAAGAACAATATTGTAAAAATGGGCGCAAAAAAGGTGACAGGACTTGTGGTGAAGATGCCGAACAGAGCAGTAAAGATTGTCGAGAGGATAAGCAGGTTCCAGCGCGGATCCTCACATTTGGCCGAAGCCTGACCAAATGTGAATGCCATTGGAAAGTGCGAGTCAAAGCCAATACTGCTTATGCCATGCCGTGTAACAGCGCCGAAACTGTCTCGCTCTCCTATTAGAGAAACGACACCACAGCCACCGTAGCCATCGTTGATGACTCCAGCGTGAATAGCCGCTGAGCAAATGAATGAGTCTCCGCGATATACCAACGCATCATTCTCAGGACCTGGAGCACCTCCAACGACCAAGGATCGGTAGTTTATGACTTGCGGTCCGATTGCGCGAGGGTTGAGCACCTGGGCGCTCGAGCATCCGGCGGGGCAGTTGAAGGCAAACGAAGCATTGGAGAAGGGGAAACAATTACGGCCGTCGGGCCCACAGCTTTCTGGGGATGGCCTGGCGACGATCAGCACAGTCACGATAGCTTGGGGTATAAGAGGAGAAGCCATACCACAGATTGTTGACACACGACAGCTTTACCGGCGCTCCGAACCCTCCAATGTCAGAAGGAAGCCCACCATCACTGACGACTACAGCGAACGTGACAATCCATACAACACATGCGATAGCGTAGATGCAAATGCGCTCCCACTCTGGCAGTCGCGCGAGCAACCGGACAGGCAGTGTTTGCCAGCGCTCGAGAAAAGGCGTGATGGTGTATCTGCTCGGCGGCTTCGGCCCCTTCACCCACTCGACCACCTTCCGGCCCCAACGAGCGACAGGTGCTGGCGTGCATTCCCCCAGCTTCCTTGTCCATGGCGGGGTACGACGGGACTGGCGGTGCGGTGCGACAAGTTCTGTGCTCTGGCCACTCGGTGTAACTCGATCGCGGTTGTCATCGCGTTTGGTCCCATGCTCCAGGTCGATGGTCTCCGGAACCACGCGATCGGGAGTGTCGCGTGCTGCCATTCGGGGGTACAGATGGGAAAAGAACGACGACAGCGGCTATGCACACGCGACTATCATGTTGAAAATGATACCGAAAAACGCGATGGGTATACGAGAGACTATTGACTTAGGACCAAAGTGGCGCACGGCAAGCATCATCGACTCGGAAGGATGATGGACTGATCCACTCTGCCGCGCCACAGGCCTCAGATACGCAGGTGGTTCCGATACCACCACAAGCTAGACATCCAGCCCTATCATTCTGCAACTCCGAACATGTCGCGACAATTCCATAACCATCAGCTGCATCTCACTATTGTTTCCAATCGCGAGCAAGACAGGAGGAGCTGACAACGACTTTTCAGGGCAGGAATCAACAATATGTTGGTGTTTTATCCAAGGTACAAGCCATTTGATCTATATGAGTTGACAGCGAGGCTACCATTCCTTTTCTTGTGTCATTAACCGGGCCTCCCCCATGAACCATCTCCATACCACGCGGCCGTCCTCGTGGCACTCGATCTTCAGACCGGTCTCGAAGTTCCCGTCGCATGCGCTACGTTTCGAGTGTCGCCATAAACTTTCGCTTCTCCTACGAAACAAGCGCACGTTTGGAGAACCCGCATCAAGTGGACACGATCTCCCAAACGAATGGACTGGTGCACTTCATGGTCTCAAAAAAGCCACACATCCTCATGGTGCAGGGATCGTGATCACCTTGTTTGGTAGCAAAAGGTTATGGCGGACATTCCCCCGACCAACCATCGCCCCAAGTTGTTGTCCATGCCGAAACGTTCACCAGCTTCAACACGTTTTTGGATCAGGGATCTCGTACTTTTTGTATGGAACCATTGTTAGCCGGCTGGGGTCTGGCGCCCGCATTACCACCGCTTCAACATCGTCGCATGCTGTGAATGTTCGTCGCCTCTATGGAAATTCCCCCTTGCTATGGCTGCACCGAGCAGACCATATGAAATCCGACCGGTGCTGGTACGCCGTGATGTTCCAAGGATGGCAGCTGCGTTCATCGTAGCTGAGGATCGTGATGAAAAGGTTAGGGATACGAACAAGCGCAGAGGCGCGACAAGACTTCAACAATCGGATGCGATCATGAACGGAACGTGGGAAGGACAGCCGCCCAAATCACCACCACAACCGACAACTCTACCCACCGAGACGGAGAAAATACTGTCATCGCGGACCGAACAGTTCTCATCTCTAGCCATGCCGACGCCTGTCGGTACAGAAGAAACGATCCTCCAAGCTATATCTATACCCTCGATATCAACGGATGCTACCTTGACTGCTCTGCCTGAGCTGGTAGCGTCTGCCGTCAGACCCACCCTCACCGCCCAAGCCGATGTCAATATCAATGGAACAAGTACCATACGAGCGGCTTCGACTACGGTGCCAGCATTTCTTGTAGACTCTGGCGCGAAGATAAATGAGGAAGCGCTTCCAGGCATGAATCAAGAGGACCCATTGTTAGTGACGGTTCCCGGAATGAATCAAGGTACGTCCAGGTCGGATTATATACGTGTGAGACAAACACTGATTTCCTATCTTCCTTTCTACAGAGGATCCTCTCTTGGTGACCGCACCCGCAGTAACGCCGACCGCAGCTCCTGAAAGTTCGTTAGCGACCCCTTCGACTTCTGCGATGACAGTAGAGAAGCCTATGCCAGGGAAGAAGCAACCGAAACCTACAGCAGATGCTGCAGTAGCCTCATTGACAATCCTGAGTGATTCTGCTTCGACTATCGCACAGACTTCGTCAACCACGAGCGCAACCATCTCGAGTACCATCGATGTCTCTACGGTTTCTTTCTCTTTACCGCCCACATTGACTATCTCTACTTCGTCGTCCACAGAATCTTCGACAACGACAAGCTCCTCAACGCTGCCTCCTGTTCTTACTTTTGTCACGATTACAAGAACTGCACAAGGCAAAGAAGATGCTCAAACAACTACACAAACCGTGCCCGCTCCACTAGCTGTCACTGCACCACAATCGGCATCCTCATCGCTTTCGGCATCCTCTTTAGTAGTTGGATCGGCTACACCTTCGAGCCTGGCTACAGCCGTCAGTGTCGAGCCGCAGAGCGGCTTGACACCTCTAGCAAGATCTTTATTCATCCTTTTCGGCGTTCTTGGTAGGTAGATGTCCACATTTCATCAGAGTGAGACTAACATTAACAAAGGATTTATTGCCATCCTTATTGCTTTGGGTGTAGTCTGGGTAATGAGATCGAACAGAAGACGTGCGCAAGCAGCTCGACAACAAGCCGCTCAGAACCCCGCCCAGGAGACTGAAGAATACGATGGCTACGGCAACACGATACACATTTCTTCCAACAACTCCATCAAGACTTTCCTCACTGAGAGCGAGAAGGCCATTGTAAACCGTGCCGCTACGCCAGACGGTGACACAGACGTAAGTTTACTTGGTTCCATGAACAACCATCGCGATATTAATGGACTCCTACAGGCAAGCGCGAAGTCGTCCCACCACCTCACCGACGCCATCAACTCCTTTATAACTAAATCACGTCGCCTGACTTACAAAATATCGCCTTAAACAAATCGCTCTACACGCTGTACTCGGGGTGGAATCAACACATGCTTGAACTTGTCGCCAGCACAACCTAGTACTGTAATCGGTTGCGGGACTTGTAATCTACTGTAAATAGCATGATAGACTGTATATAAAATGGTTGTTGCCTTTCCAAATGTTCGTTATCAGTGCGGTGTGCATAATGAACATGTAACGTGCGCAGTTAGAGGTACACTCAAATTTCAGATGGTGAATGTCAACCCCCAAATAGAAGAGACATACCAGGCCTTGCTAGACGTCGGCTGAAAGGCTGTGGAATATTCTAGTCTGAATGCAGCCACGCAGCATTGTAGCACGATGAGGCTGATAAGCTATAACTCGATGCGCAAGCAAAGAGCTCTGTTGATAAGTAGCAAACCAAGCCTTACCTATACAATAGAGAACGTGAGACTTTCACAACTGGACGTTCTTTCACGAAGATAATCTTTCTCGGCTTTATCTCTGTATCGTCTCACTCCAGATAAAGCCACCAACACGCTTCCACTTTTGTTTCCAAGGTTATCACGCCACACTTACATCGGCCTCTTACCTGATGTTGCCAAGCCACTGACACCCCAAACCTCACACCATTTTCACGCTTTGTTTAGCCCGTTCATATGCTAGTCTGCGGCGTAGCGGCGTAGTCTGCAAGGCTAGTGCCAGAAGTGCTTACCAGCGTCGTTAGTGGCTGTTAGTGCTAGGTTCGACGGACCCCACGTTAATTGCTGTATGAGGCAGTTTTGGAGTATAGCTTGGAAGGACAGTGGAGTAGTGTGAGCAATGGCCCTTCTTGCTTCTTGTATGTAAGCCTGCAATGATTGGACGTAATAAACTTACAAGCTTTGACCGAGGCAGCCTTGCCATCACCATGACAGCCAAGCATGTGTTGAGGCTCCAGACTTTTTGCTGAAATTCGTACAGTCTATATTCTATTCGACGAAATAATCTGAAGTATGCACATATAAAGACCCTAATCATATTAACCACGGGTCCAATACTGAAAGAATACATGCCATAAACAATACAACATGTGCACTCGACCCCGGTACAAATATGCAGCACAATACTTCAGCGCCTAGTCAATGATCTCATCTCCAGTCTTATCCACTCTAACGATAGCATTACCCTTGCACTGCGTGTATGTCAAGTCATCTTCGGAGTGAGGAGTGCACTTGATTTCGATCAGCTTGGCACCATATACAGTGACCTCGGTGCCATTGAGCGTCACGGTCTGCTCAAGCGCAAACGCTGTGAATAAAGTCAGTCTCACGTGTTGGAGAGGCGGTAAAGGGTAGCTTACAGTATGATCCGGCAACACCGACGTCGCCGTCCAAGGTGTAGTTGAAACTGGCAGGAGCGCATCCAGTATCTGCTGGAGCCGCACCGGGCCTTTTGATAGTCTGGCAGTCAGCGGCGACGGGCTCACCACTTGCAGTGTTGGCGTCTATATATAAAACATCGACGTGGGTGGAACGGTAGCCGTACTCAAAGTTGTTGTCCTCAATAGCGATATTCCAGCCGCCGTAGTTGGAGGGAGTAGCTGCGAGTACGGCGGGTGCAATGGCAAGGGCGAGAGAAAGGATAGAGGCGTACATCCTGATGTTCGAGTTTGAGGACTTTCGATGTTTGTGGTGGGATGAGAGTCAGTTCAGCTGAGATTTAGAATTCGATGATGATCTTGGAGACGGGCAAGACAACTAAACAAGTTCATGGCCATTTCCATACTGTCAGTGCTGAGTCCAACATGGTAAAGAACGGCGCAACCTCGGCCATCAGAATGGTACCCATCGGCGTTCCTGACGGTGTGGAGAAGGTTTAGATTGCCTTAAAAACCACGAAAGAATTCGTATTCGACATTGCGGTCAATGAACAAGACGTCCTATGCAGCCTGCGTATCCAGTTTTCCCAACTTCGTGATCGACGAATGCCACGCTAGGTGTAGCCCTAGAGCGGAGCTTGTCAGGTACAAGCATATCATATATAAGGGAAGGCGTTGGCAACGAAACGTTGGCGGTACTCTAGTGCGGAAACTGGGAAGGGGTAACCCGTCGGCGGTAGCTTGATATATCGACATGGCTCCAGTGCGCGATCCAATGGAACTTAGGTACATGCACGATACTGCACCGTCCGGGAATCTGCTCGTGTTGAACACATCGGGCAAGGAGTTCATGTGAACATGCGTAACGTCAGTATGTTGTAACCAATGGCAACCGACCCTCTTTTGTTTTTGGAGGGGTTCGATTTTGTACGCGTGTAGTCCTATACAACCAGGTAAGATCTTCACTCTGCTAGCCTCCGTACAACCCTTGGCTGAAGCGGTCATGTTCAACTCGACATGGCTGTACAATTTCTTTTATTCTCTCTTTCTTTGTAATGGCTGTCCACAAGTAGGATCCCAAGAAGGACGTTTTTCGTCTGGTTTCCACTAACTCGTCGTGTCTTGGCCTGACTTAGCTGCGCATGATGGTTGCAGGCTACTACGTCGTGGCAGCCTTGTAAACATGGAGGTAGACAATCTCTTCACCGATTTCTACATCTCCCGGTAACGGAAATTCGATTTGGGTTTTCTTTATGAATCCTGCATCTTCCATGAGTTCGAAGAAGACTTCCTCGCTCGAATGACGCATCTTCATTGCGATAGCAACAACGATTTCTGGGCTTGCTTTGACCAGTCGTGTCAAAGTATTTACCAATGATGGGCTGTAGATGGACGTTAGATCAACTTTGTTCCTTGATTTTATCAAACATATGTGATGACGTAAGAGAAAGCCATACCTGCTATCTGGATTGTATGTGCAATCAGCCGCGACTACAAGATCAAGCTGTTCTGAGGTAGACTGCAAAATATCAGGCAGATCTGCATCCCAGTCCAGCTCCATGAAATCTAGTGACGCGCCTGGTGCTTCGATAGCATAGTGCATATTACGCTCTACAATCTCTCTGGCCTCTTGAAGGTCGGTTAGGAGGACTTTGGAGTTCGAGATGGTTTGAGCGATTGCGATACCAACCATTCCGCAGCCAGTACCCAATTCGAGGACATTCAAGCGTGGTTTGGATACAGACGGTAGCAATGCTTTAGCTAGATCGGAGTTTGGGGTTGTCAGTGCTGTTATTTGACACGAGAGCGTGATACCAGCGTCCCTGTACGTCCAAGTCAGTGCCTACGGTTCGACACGTCACAAACTGAAAATATATACCATAGATGTCTTGCGATGCTCTCTCCTGTCTCCTCCCAGATAGTAGTAATTGGTCCATCTAGGAGCTTGAACCGCCTTTCTACTAACTTTGGAGCATCTACATCAGACGTGAATGGCGGACTCCAGGCAGACACGACACCTCGAGCGTCAGAGTCGGATATGGTTGCGAGCTCATCGTGTATTCGTTTCGGCTCCCCGCCCACTCTTACTCGCAAATGGGACCAGGATGCCCGAGACTTGGGGAGGGGAAATGTGATGGGCAGACTCCGCATGCCGGCCGTCCACTGCACGGTCGACCATAGTAGCACATTCTCTTGCGAATCTGCAGTCGCCAACAGCTCTGCTGCTAGCCGGATGTCGTAAGGAAGAAAAGAATCTCCAAGATCCGATGTGATGGTAATGAGGCAACTGACTTGCTTTCTCGCCGTGGTTTTGTCAGTGACAACCCGGGGACTTTTGAGGAAGCGGATGTATCGCATGGTGCATGGTAGAGTTTGTCGGAAAAGTGTGCCGAAAGCAGCAAGACTGTGGGGGTGAAAGGCTGGATGTGGGGTGCTGCAACGCTGGGACGCAGGGCTGGGGATTCTGAAGGCTAGAATGCCCAACCGAGCCGCATCTCATCTACCACGTCGTCATACCTCAACTTGTCCCGAAAGGTTATGTGTTTGTTTCTGTGTTGAAGCCAATGCGCTGTCGCATCGCAGCATCTTGCTGCTACCCGCAATAACCCACGAAACCTCACTGAGCAAGAGCCGTCGCTGTCGTCATCGCCATCATGTACCGTCGCAGCGACCCCAGGTGGAATCGCACGCTCCACCAGATTACGGAGAATCTCGAGCACGCAAACGAATCGGCGCAGGAGAACATCTACGGCTTCACCCAGCGCTACGTCAACCCATGCTTCTCGTCCATCACCCAATGCGTCAATGCGTGTACGGCGCCATGCTTCCCAGCGCACAACGACCGCCGGCGCAATCGCGGACGATCACGCGGCCGGGCAGAAGTCAGCTTCGACTTCTACGACGACTGGGAGGACGACGAGAACGACGGTCTTTTGGGCTGGGGCACCGACAACCTCGACCGCTTTCTCGGCGGCGCGGCCAACTATGGCGCGACGACGCAGCCTGGCCGACAGAGCGGCATGACTTATGGACAGCGAAATCGCGATCCGAGATACAATACGCCGCGGCGCAAAAGCATGACGCTGCCGCGAGACGGCGCCCAGGACCCGACTCTCATCCCAAGTTCTTCTTACTTTGGCTTCCTGGGACGACTGCCTTGGAAGATTGGGGGTCGGGGACTGCGATACAAGCCATCAGCGGCAGACCTCACAGAGCACCCGGGCGCAATGCGAAGGAGTCTGGAAGAGGAACAGCCGCTGATCGACGACAGTGATGAGGATGCTCTCGAGGGGCCCGAGAACAAGGGACATCGCAGGCAGAGAAGCAACACGCAAACATCGGGACACACGACCGACTCGCTGAGTTCTAGAGGCGACATCTTCCCCAGCGAAGACGAGCTTGAAGACGCGGTACCGCTCGACGACGAGTTCACCATCGCGCTCGAGCGACGTACCACAGGCCAGTGGAACGAAGATAGCACCAGCAACAACAAGGCACGCTCAAGTAAGAGCAAGCGGCCCTCTGCATCACGCGTATCCACCCGAACTGTCTCTTCGCGCAACACAAGCAACTCAGATAAACCACCATTGACCCAGCGCTCCGCCTCCGAAACCATCGAAGAAGTCCCCACTCTCGACCAACTACAAAAAGAAGAGGAACGCCTGCGTCTAGAGGAAGAAATGGAAGTCCACCGCAAGCGTCAAGAAGCCCAACAGCTCGCCGTCAAGCGTGGCCTAGCCCCCGACCAAAAAGCCCTCTCTACCAAATCCAGTACGCCTCGCTCCTTGTCGCCAGCTCATGCAATGGCGACTGTGAACTCGACTGTATCGCCGCTTGTACGCACGCCCGCTGGCGAAACTGCGCCTGCGGCTGACCAGAGCGACTCGATGCCATTTCCCAGTTTCGTAGATAGCCAGACGATGCCGGACAGTAGTGGGTTTTATGTCGATGAGAGTGACTATTCGAGCAAGGCTGTCACGCCGAATCGACCCTTGTCTATCAAGGAAGAGGTGAGGGAAGACAGGAGAGGAGAAGATGATGGAGAGGCATTTGTTCCTGCTCGATTACCGAATTTTGGGTCTGAGTAAGTGAGTACGAAGCTAGACACTACACACCCAGAAGAGACTAGTTTACGACGCATGCCATGGAGATATGAGGAGACGTAGCGGAAAGCATCTATTGTAATTAATGACCTGAGCGATTTCAATTCATCTTGTTTTAAATGTTGTTACTATTGAGCTACAAGCCCATGTTGCCGAATGTAATCTGCTTCTTTGTCAATCCCTGGTATATTTCGTCTAGTACGCCTCTCTTTCGCTTCTTGTCTACCTCCTTCTCTTCCCGTTCGAGTTCCTCTTCATCGTCTAATTCGGCATCTTCTTCTGTTCTTGGCTTCCATGTCGCAATACTGCCATCAGCATGGGCAGAGTACATCTCCACGTGGTGTGGTCGCCAGGCCAGACTTGTGATTCTGTCCTTGACGTTACGCTGTCCCTTTGCTGCTGCTGCTCCAGACGCGTTGGATGAAGTGTTCGTCTGAGGCTGCTGTGAGCGGCGTAGTCGACGGATCAGCTTACCGTCAAAGAGCTCATAGGTAAGAATCTCGTGCTCGTTAGGATAGAACATGAGATCAGCACCGGGCTGGAGGTTTTGCACTGGCGCAAGAACGGGAATGCGAGGCGCAAGACCAGAGTTTTTGACCATGGGGCCAAAGTTTGCTAGGGTATTGGCACCAGTATCCGTGTCCCAGACGCGTACTCGCGCATCGTGCCCGCAAGATACTAGGTGCTTGCCATCCTCGGTCCATACGAGCCCATTCACAGCGTCTCTGTGCGCCTGTGCGTTGGTCGAGTTGCGAGTAAAGGACGTAGATTTCCCAAGTACCCCGACTGAATCTTCGAGGTCCAGTACACCCAATTCACCTACACTGCGGCGTACATCCCAGAAGCGTATGCTGCCATCTGTAGCTCCACTGACAAGAATATGTTCGCGCACAGGGCTCCATGCTGTAGAGAGGATCGCGCCAGAGTGGCCTGCAAGACTGTGTGTCGTGGCGCCTGAGCGAAGATCGACGAGACGCACATTCGGATGTTGCGTCGCGCATGCGACGAGGAGATGCGAGGCGATGGGCGAGAGCGAGATGTTATACACGACGGAATCGAGGTTGAAAGACGCAGACGGCGCAAGTGTTTCGCTGGAGTAGAGCTTGACGGTGTGGTCGTACGATGATGTAAGGAATGCCAGAGAATCAAAGGGGTAGAACTGTATCTGCGTGATGCCTAACTTGTGCTCTTCACTCGTCTTGTTCACCGCCGTGAGGGGGAGATAGGTGTCTCCTGCCTCGGTTGCCGCTGTCTGCGCCTCGAGATCCCATACTGCAATCGAGCTGTCTGCGCCTCCAGAGAGCAGATATCGCCCCTCAAACTTGTCAATGGTCAAAGCATTCACCCCGGATATATGCGCCGGTATGCGCTCGTGCGGATCATCGAGGGCCGGTAGATGCTGGCTGAAGACTACGGTAGGAGACGGTTGCAGCGCGTATGTGAGACGTGAGGCATAGCCGCGCTTGAGGACGTGGTTGGGAATGAAGCCGTACGCGCGGTCGAGCTCGTGTTGAGTGCTCATATGCGACTACATGCTTTGTGTGCTTTGGGGCGACAGAAGAAGGAGAGGGTGCGCAGAGGATTATGACGTTGTAGCCCAGGCATCCGCAACGCGACAGGGATCATTGATCGCAAGACATTCACCAACAACGTTCAAGCCTTGCAGTCAAGCAAGCCGCTTACCTGAACCCTCCCTTGTGCTTCAACACAACGACGATACAGCGCTATATCGAAGTCATCTCAAATGGCCACTGATAATGAAGAGCCTCGTCGCCAAAAAGTAAAGAAGAGACCACGAAAACGACGCGCTACTGTCTACGATGCCGTCCATCGTAAGAGACGCATTTGTTAACAATCAAAATGCATAACCTAACAATCTTCAAGGCAAAGTCGCTCGAACCGGTCTAATAGCCCACATCCGTGATCCAAAGGCATCCAGGAAACCACTGCGCCCGGATGAGGTTCTCTTCAAGCGAAAGAATGCTCCTATGCGATACGAGGAAGACGATTACTACCCTGCACACTCCAAGTTGCCTGCAAACCAAAAACTTCCCAGTGGCGACCTCGCAGATGTATTGAGGACCTACGTATCAACACTATGGGCCAGGACTAAGGGGCCCCGCATGATGCAAAGAACTTGGAGAGGTATGGACGAATCTGCGCTTATCGCTCTAAGTATCCTGATGGAAGAGACTGCTCGAGGCGCGCTAGGTGAGACGGGCGATCTAGCTTTTACTGAGGCAGCCGAGGAAGACGAAGAGCAGGTTCTTGCTCGTCAGAAGCAGTGGACTCAGGGTACTGGTGGTAAGAAAGAAGGAGCTATCGTTAGAGCCAAGAAGAAAGCCCAGGCTAGTAAAGAGAAGCAGCGCGCGAAGGAAAGGGAACGCCTAGAAACGTGGACTTCGTCTGACGAGGAGTCACGTGGCGACTTGGCAGAGGAAGAGCTGGAGTGAACATTACGACGTTAACGGGAGATGGACTTGCATACCTCAGAAGAGGGGGCTGTTGAACGCGATGAACGATCAGAAGCCCCATCTCTGCCTGCGGTGAGAGTATCGAGAGATTTGTGGAAGAAAGAGGCAAAAACACGGCGTTTGATGACGAAGACAATATCTCAGCAAGCCAACAACGGTGCAAGATGTATCTTTTGAGCTCCCAAGATACATTTAGGCTCGTGTTCTCAGCCCGAATATACGAATCTATAGACGATACCGAAGCTAGGGAGCTACAGAGTCTCAGGATGCTGCAAAAGTGGCGTTGCGATCAAAGGTCTAGTTGATTGCGGTCGTGCCTACCTTCTTCGACGGCTGGCACCTTGGCGTGCCTTCCTCAAGGAAGGCATCCGCCATGAAGAGCTATTGAAGACTTTTGAGAAACTAACATCTACACGCGCTCCATGCCGTTCATCAATTCTCGTGTATCCTTTGTGTTTCACATGGTTCGCAAGAGCATCTGTCGTTTCTAAGCGGATATGGTCAGTTCAGACATAGGAACGGCTGAAGCACTCACTAACTCTGGCAGGCCCCGAAAACCCAACCCAACCCGCAGAAAGCGGCCTCCATTCTTGCCTGGTTTCACAAAACGGCACAGGCCCACAGCATCAAAGATCTCGAGAAGACACTGCCGCAAGTTTCCTCTATCAACGGCATGCAAGTTAAGGACTACCTCCAAGCACTCTCAGATGACAATAAAATCCGTGTTGAGAAGATTGGTAGCGGTAACTGGTACTGGAGCTTTCCAGCCGATGAGAAGAAAGCCAAAGAAACAGCTCTCAAGAAAGCCCAAGAGGAGTTCGACAAGGCCAACGCTGCAGTAAACGAGCTTCAGGCGAGGGTGGACGATGCAGGTGCGGCTCGCGCCGAGGATGAGGATATGCTCATGGAGACAGGTAGATACTACCGTATCTTTATCGCATTCGCACTCACCACTCATAGGTGGTGATCGGAAGACACTGATTTCGAAGCATGCCGAACTCACAAAGGACCTCGAGAAACTCAGGATCGAGCTATCTGCGTACAGCGATCAAGATCCTGTCGAGTTGGAGAAGAAGGCTACCGAAACTGAACGTGCTCATCTTGACGCAGAGAAGTTTACTGATCAAATTCTCGTCATGCAAGGCTGGATCAATCAACAGTACTTTGGTGGTAGTGGAGGGCCGGAATTCAAGGAGATGCTGAAGTCATTCTACTACGACGAGTACGACGAGGAGGAGGGAGGCCTACGTGAGCTGTGAAATGTGACGAGTTAGGCATCGGGGAATTTCATGACGCATGTGTCGAAGTCTCCACTAGGAGATCGTCTACTGTACAATAAGATGCAGCAATAAGGGCGTAATCACTATCGTGTAGAGATGTTACAGCGAAATCATTTCGACTCATCGCCGGGTATGCCATAATAATGCGCCACTTCGGAGTATTTATAAGTGCTTGAGTCATGTTTCAGCAGGGACCACTTCCATTCGCTTGTGAACATCGTCATCGCAAGTAGCTTTTGCCAACCCACCACCAAACGCCTATTGTAGAACGAGGCCTCGCTGGCCTGCCTATAACTCGCCTCTCGTCACTCCCCAAAAAGACTTCGACACTCTCCATACCACCAATTCCCTGTACACATCCCTGGAACCAGACCCTATACCCCGCGATGGCCTCGACTGGTGCCCAAGAAAACGCACAAGTGCCTGCAAGCCCACAGCGGAGAGGAGGCAGAGGCCGTGGACGTAGCAGAGGTGGAAACGGCGGGGCAGAAGATGGCCACGATAGCTTTGGGGGGAGGGGACGTGGACGGGGCGGCTTTCAGAGCCGTGGACGAGGTCGCGGCAACAGAGATGGCGCGGGCGGTCGTGGTGGACATGCGCCAGAAAAGGGCAAGGCGCCTGCGATAGAGGCAGAAGAGAATGGACAGGCTCCGCCTGCTCTCGCGAAGCCGAACCTACAGCAATCGGACAACGAAGACGACGACGCCGAAGTCTGCTTCATTTGCGCCTCGCCCGTTCAGCACACAGCCGTTGCTCCTTGCAACCACCGGACATGTCACATCTGCTCTATCCGAATGCGCGCCCTGTACAAGACGAAAGCTTGTGCGCACTGCCGAACAGAATCAGACCACGTTATCCTCACAGACGACGCAGAGAAGAACTACGAGGACTTCTCAACCGCCGAGTTCTTCCGATCCGATGACACTTTAGGCATACATTTTGAGAATTCTGGCGTTTTCGAAGACGCGCGATTGTTGCTACAGTACAATTGCCCTGACAGCGAGTGCGACGTCGCCTGCCTAGGCTGGCCAGACTTGCATCGCCATGTCAAGACGGCGCACGGGAAAATGATGTGGTATGTACTTCATAGTCTCAGTGTTGCTGCATTCGCTAACATTTCCGAAGTGACCTGTGTACACGAAACAAGAAAGTCTTCACGCACGAGCACGAGCTATTCACGCAGGCCGATTTGCGAAAGCACCAGAAGTTTGGCGACGATAACCCTGGAGCAATAGATCAGAGTGGCTTCAAGGGACATCCGGAATGTGGCTTCTGTAGACAGCGCTTCTATGGCGACGATGAGCTTTACACTCATTGCAGAGACAAGCACGAGCGCTGCCACATTTGCGATCGCCGAGAAGGGGGGAGCAGAAAACAGCAATATTTTGTCAACTACGACTCCCTTGAGGTGCATTTCCGGAAGGACCACTTTCTTTGTCCTGACCGGGAATGCTTAGAGAAGAAATTCGTCGTGTTTGATTCTGAAATGGATCTCAAGGCGCATCAGCTGGAAGTGCATCCCAACGGTCTTTCCAAGGACGCGTTGCGAGATGCTCGCAGAGTTGACATGTCTGGCTTCCAAATCAGAGCGCCGCACGACCAAGGTCAGGGTAACAACAGGCGAGATGAGCGTAGACGCGAGGGCGGCAGAGGTCGTGGACGTGGACGAGATCCGAACGCAGAGCCGGTGCCTGCGTCGTCTGCGCAACCTTTGAGCAGAGCAGAGCTCGCCTACCAGAGGCAGAGGGAGGCTCAGAATACTCATTCAGTCACTGGAAGAACCTTCGGTGGCCAACTATCTGCACCAACTCCGGGCGAGGCGTTCGCTGCCAGGCCTCCCCCAAGCGCCTCAGAACCTCCCACTGTAACAGCCTCGCGCCCGGCGCCAGCGGCTGCAGGCAATATCACGAATGGTGTCGCTCAGTTGAGTGTGAACGAACAACCAGTCAACCCAGTCCCACAAACACCTCAGGAGCAGGCTCGACTATTGCGCCACAACGCAGTTACGGAACGAGCCACAAACATGCTTCGAGGTAGCGCGATCAAGCTGCAGGAGTTTAGAGCTGCAGTTTCAGCCTATCGGAACTCTAACGTGTCGGCAGCGCAACTGATCGAGGGATTCTTTGCACTATTTGACGCCAACTCGAAGGAGATAGGAAAGCTGATCAAGGAATTGGCAGATATCTTTGAAATTCCAGCAAAGCGGGAAGGTCTCTTGAAAGCGTGGAACGACTGGAAGGCTATTAACGAAGATTACCCTTCACTGCCGGGCTCCGCGACAGAACAAGCGTTGAACGGCGGATCAACTGTGCGGGGAGGCTCTCGTGTACTGAAGTTAAAGAGCTCAACAGCTAAATCATCCCGGTCTACAGCCAACCAGCAAGCCAGCTGGTCGAACGCATCGTCGAGCAATCCTTTCCCAGCTCTACCAGCGCCAGCAGGTCGCGTCGGTGCGAAACCTGGACAGACGCCTTGGGCTTCTTCGTCTGCCGCAACGAGCGCACGTCCTTCGCCCATGCCATCTCGAGTTGCGTCGTCAACAAATGTAAACAAGAAGCCCGTTGGAGCGGACGCCTTCCCTGCTCTCCCAGCAGCCGCAAAACCCACCAGTACACTCTTCAGTCCAGGATATACTGGCCGCGCTCTAACGCGCGATAACAGCGGTCGCAATACACCAGTGAGCAATCCTTGGGCCGGCCCATCTGGGGCAAACAGCGGAACATCAACGCCAGCTCTGGAGGATGTCGGTGCGGCAGGGAAGAAGAAGGGTAACAAGGGCAAAAAGCAAACACTCTTCCAATGGGGTTAAGCAACCATCATGTGCATTCTAAGATATAAGCAAGCATAGACACGACACGGAAGCACAAGGGTAGTGCTGGTCTTGCGATTCTGAGCTTTACTTCTAGGTTTGCCAAGCTGTTTATACAGAAATGAATGATTCATAGACTGACGGGTTCTGGTCTCATGGCCGCCTGTGCCAACGAAAAAGGCAAAAATGTTGTTGGGTGGAGGCACACAGCATGTACTGCATCACGCGCACTCTTTCTTCCAAAGGCACGCTTATCATAGGCCAAACCTCATACCCAAGGCATGGTGTGAAGATATACACTACCTTGTTTTTGATAGTTTGTTACTGTACGAAACAGCGTATTACCTTAGAGTATGATACAGCAGAAATGCAACTGGTGAACCCGCCGAAAGTTATTGCGCAATTGTTGCAGAGTTGCGTTGTCACCACACTTCAGTCATAACACTTCTGAGCATAGATCCTTTCATTTAGGTCGTTGCAGGATATAGAAGTTGTAAGTGGCTTGTTTGGTTTGAGTCCTCGCAACACTAGCGGGAAGTGGATGGTAGCGAAGGTATAGCATTTCGTACCCTCACAAGCTATTACGATCATTCTGCCCGCTAAAGTACAGTCCCGACATTCGGTGTGAAGAAGAGCCAGTAGTAGTCTCAATCACATGTGCTGACACGTGTTCGAGTGTGGAGACGAACAACAGCCTGTCAAATATTTAAAATGTTATCTCGAGCACCCAAATAGGATCTCGCGAGTTAAATGGCGCCGGGAACTGGCGTCGATCATGGTGGAGACCCTTGACTGTGATCCTGTGGTATCTGCGCCCCAACCCGCGATGACTTGATCGAAAACCTCTCAAAGAGAACTCTTGGTGGGTTGGTTACATGATGAAACTGATTTGCTGGCGGCTTGTGAAGCGGTAATGTGCCCATAGGTAACCATGGTAGAAGTGATGTGTCTATAGCGTTGGCCGGTAGCGCAGTCCGCAGTCGCCTAAATCTTGAAGAGTATAAAGCTTGGGGAGGCCCCCCCGTCTTGTATCCTTATTCCCAACATTCTACCCCAAGCCACATCAATACCGCCAACAACATGGCTTACAACTACACCAAGATGAATACCGGACGCCCGGAGCCAATCCAGCAACAGCAGCCGCCTCCTCAACCAGGCAAGAAGTACGAGCTGTCTGTTGAACAGCAACCGATCCGAGCTCGAATGTGTGGCTTCGGTGACAAGGATCGAAGGCCGATAACTCCCCCGCCCTGCATCCGGTTAGTTGTCATAGACAACCAGACAGGAAGAGAAGTCGACTTTCAGGATATCGACAGCACATATTTCGTCCTCATGGTGGATCTCTTCGATGCGGCGGGAGTTGATCCCGTTAACCTTGTCCGGCATAGTTCTGCAGCGCCGACAGTTAGCATCTCCAGCAGCACAACCACTTCATATCCTCCTCCTCCGGAACGAACACACCAAATGGTGACTACATCAACTCCCTACGACTTCAGACCATACGGCAGCAATCCTTCGTCAATGGGATACTGCTATCCACAGCAATACCAAATGTATGGCCCACCTCAGGCCGCCATGATCCCCGCTACGCCCATTGGCTCAAACCACACGCGCAACCTTATTGGCATGAATGCAGTCAACGCCTGCCGCCTCAACGACCTGGCAGGCAAGCCTGGCTTTTGGTTCGTGCTACAGGATCTCAGCGTGCGCACCGAGGGCACCTTCCGGCTGAAGCTCAGCCTCTTCGATATTGGCGCCGGAGACGGCACAAACGGCACTGTCCACCTAAACGGACCCAGCAAAGGTAAAGGCCCGTGTCTTGCCACCAACTACACCGATCCCTTTACTGTCTACTCAGCCAAGAAGTTTCCCGGTGTGATTGAAAGCACCAAACTCAGCAAATGCTTTGCGCAACAGGGCATCAAGATCCCCATCCGCAAAGATGGTGGGCCCAAAGTGCCCAATCAGTCCGAGTTCGACGAGTAGTGATTTTCTGGTCATTAGTCAGCAAGGCTTTGTTTGTGTCTATGGCAGGGTATAGACAAGGGCATGTCACGGCATGGAGTTTTGGGAATTTTAGGGGTTGGGGGAGTTTTGGGAGAGTTTTGTCCCGGTGTTTCCGGCGTTTTCAATGTCAATACCTAGTCAATAGTTTTCAATACGTGTATCAACAAGAAACTTTCAAAAGCACACGTCTTCACTGCTGCCTTTTTCTTTTTACTAATAGTGCGTCCTGAGCGTATACGTCGTATGCAACATTCCCACTGTGACAGACTAGTACAACCATCATTGCCCCTACAGGATACTTTTCAGTGGTAGTTGACATTTAAGTTCATCCGAAGAATCTCGTTCCGTCATTAGCCTTTGCAATCATGCTTTGTAAAGATGAGTAACCACATGGGTGTTATTTTAGCAATTAGAATTTCTTGTGTCGATGTCTTCATTGTTAAGTATTATATGGACTAGCTATCGTCGCCATCCTAAAACAGCAGCTTTATGTTCGGGTTGGTTGAAGAACCCCTATATGATGTTGTTTACGTCGCGATGTCGATTAAATGTAAAGACAAGTATAGTCTAGTAAGAGCCGTAAGAGATGAAGCTTATTACTGAGAGTAATTGCCTTTGTGTGATTGTCTAATGCGATGCGAATTCCGTGATCCCCTAGTAGATGAGATCCTCTGCATCACATGATGCGGCTGGTAGTGACACTTGGTGTCGGTGCCCTACTGAGAGGCTGCAGTAGCGATGACTGTGCGTATCATGGACAATCCAAAAGGACGTAGTGTGCTCTGACGTGACTGTGCTGGAGCCGGACTCCCGCAGATGGCGGAAAGTGGAGCAGAGGATGTGCCTCAGACTGGCCGTACATGTACTGCCGTCGTTGATGATTTAGCGACTGAGCTTGGCAATACCCTGTAGGTCATGCATCAGGTTTGCTGCCGTATTGGGGGACCATCTCTTATTGCGGCATCTAATGCCTAATTCGTAAGGTCCGGAACGGACGATATTCTCACGTGGTGAGCTTGCGCAGACGGAGGACTTATGAGGTCAGCCGAGCCTATCCAACAAGTTTGAGCTTGTCAGGTATGATCTGTCGCTTCACCCAATATTATGTTTATCCATCTCTTCATCGATCCAGCTCCTACGTTTTACCCTGACTCGCCTTCTCCACTTGTCTTGGTCTTCCTGCTGCCCTCGAGTTTCCCATCCAGTCTCCTCATTCATTGGCTCCGCATGCGTGACATTCGGACTGATGCGTCTGGGATCCACGAAGTCGGGGTATTGCTGGCTACCAAAGTCGTGCGTGAGCAGGCTGCTGTTGAGCCTTGCTGATGTGCCTACACTCGCTGTACCACTACCACTCTGTGTCTTTTCCAGCGCCAGAGTATTCCGGCGTTCGAAACTGTTTCCGCGCGCATAGTTGTTGTTGTTCATGCTCTGATCGGATTCGGCTCTGACGCGCACGAGTTGAACCAGTTTGCCGAGGACAGCGAATTCGAGTTTGAGTTTAATCGAGTATACAACGCCTTTGAGAGTGGTTTCGATGAGGTACAGGTTGGCGAACTCGACGCTGAGTAGAGCGATGTCCATGGCGATGATCAGTACATTGATAGTGAGGAGCTGGTACATTGTCTTTCGGACGTTGGTATTCTTAAGGTGCCCCATCCCAGCACTGTCATCGAAACTTCGCACGTCGTCTTGAACCTGTTCTGAGAGCCTCAGCAGTCGTACCGTCTCTTTTATGTATACTATCGACAAAATCGTCTCTTGCACGAAGAAACCGACCATCTGTATCTTTTCCATTATCGAGTATCCGCGGACGAAGCGACTGAGCGTGGTGTCGGAGAATGAGTTCGCGTTCGAGCCGAAGGTCAGGACGGTCGTGATGGAATGCAGGAGTATGCCATTGGTAATGATCATCCAAAGAGTCCAGCGAAGGACGCGACGCGAATTCGTAACGAGGTGGAGACGCGACCACAGGACCACCGATTGCCCTGGAAGCTTGTTAGCAGCCACATACCAGAGTCCTCGAGAGTCGAGCGAACTCACCAGTGATCATAGGCCACCACCCAAGCGTAAGTAGGACGACGGCGACATATCCAGCGTCTCTTGAGGGATCCAATACCCTGAAGAACTTGATGATGAAGCCTAGAGAGTACGGTATGATGCCGAAAGCGCTGATGACCAGCGACCAGAAATACAGGCCATGGTAACGCTGGAAAGTGACGAATGCGAGGATAATGAGTTCGATGGCGTTATAAAGGGAGAGGCCGAGGAGAAAGGCAATGATAATCTTAAGGACTAGAGAGTCGCCCGTGTAGCCTACACAACTGTCAGTACCGAACGATCAAGCTTTGGGGACAAGACTGCGACGCTTACCTCCAGTGATTCCAGCGCCGGCAGACTCGAGGGTACCCAGCGCCGGTGTTGACTCCGCTGCAAAAACAGACGACGTCACGCTAGAAACAAGGCTGGCAGACAGCGACGCCATTTGCGAAGCTTTTGTCCCAAACTCAATGCGCAGCTCCTCCGCAGTACGACGAACCAGGCACGAAGCGTGTTTGCGACTCCATCAGTCAAGAGGAGATTCGCCTGGTAGCGCACAACATGGCGACAGATTTGACAGGAGAAACGGGCCGGTAGGGAGCGACATCGAGTACGGGCTTGTTTTCATCGAGGCGGGGATTTTCCGTGTACGAGCGTCAACGGTGCGTGTGCACTAATAGACCACGCGCGGCTTTTCAAAGCACACCAACCGGTTATGGTGCCAAAGTGACGCTGCCACCTCCACTTGCTAGCCTTTCCAGGATTGAGCAGTACAGCAGTCCGGGGTAGATCGGCGCTACTGAGTCGTGCATTAGGCCGTCGATTGACAAGTTTTGCTTTGCCGGGACGCTCACCATGTTCTCGGAAAGTTGAGGCGACTTTACATTATCACTCAGCTAATGAGGCTGCAACAGGGTCAGTCTTGGAACCGACACATTGCAGCTGCCTTGCCATCTACGGACTCTACAGCTCACTACGTGATATTCTTTTGAGCGACCTCACCCCTCTTCTTGCCCTTCTGTTGTGCTGCCTCGTGCTTTCTCAGGTCCTCAGGCACCTTACTGATCTGACTCTTCATGAGAATCTGCTTGAGATCGTAAAGTACATCCGCATCTTCGTTGCCCCAGAACGTGATAGCAACACCAGGTTTGTCCGAGTCCGCACCCAAACGTCCAGTACGACCGATACGATGGGTGTAGCTTTCGATGTTACCAGGCATGTTGAAGTTCACCACCAATTGAACGCCTTGAATGTCGATACCACGACCAAGCAAATCAGTGGCAACAAGCACGCTAGTTTGTCCATTCTTGAGGGACGCAAGAGCAGCCTCACGCTGTTCTTGGGTTTTTCCACCGTGAATCGTGGCGGATGAGAAGCCCATGTGTTTGATCTCGCGAGCGATGGCATCGCAGTTTCGTTTGATATTGACGAACACAATAATTGGTGCAGAGAACTCGCCAGACGTAAGAATCTCCTGGAGACGCTTCTTCCTCTTCTCTTCTCCCTGGACGAATTCGACGCGCTGCTCAACGGTGTCAGTAGCCTCGCCTTGGTTGCCGACTGTAACGATAGCTGGGCGACGTGTGTACTTCTTCGCAATCCTTTCGACAGCTGGCGGCATAGTAGCTGTGTACATCATGGTTTGGCGGTATGTTCCCTTTCTCATCGCATTGGGGTCTTCGGCCTCGTCGGTGTCTGGTTTCTCGTTGTTGACGGGTAGCGCATCGAGGATCTTGTTGACCGGCTCTTCGAAACCCATGTCAATCATCCTATCAGCCTCATCCATGATAACGTAAGTACACTGACTGAGAACGAGAACTCGGCGCTCAATACAGTCTACTAGACGACCAGGCGTGGCAATGATGATCTCGGCTCCGTCCCGCATTTGGAACGACTGTTCTTCGATGGAGTGACCACCGACAAGAACAGCAGTCCTGAAACCTAGTGGCGACGCAAACTTGCGAGTCTCTATTTCGATTTGCTGGGCCAATTCACGCGTCGGTGCGAGGATGAGGGCGTACGGGCCATCATGACGGGTCATGGCGTCAAGGGGGGGTAGTTGTGAGATGTATGCGAGTAGTGGCAGGACGAAGGAGGCAGTTTTACCCGAACCTGTTGCAGCAACTCCGATCAGATCGCGACACTGTAGAGCAATAGGTATGGCCGCGCGTTGGATGGGCGAGGGCTCGGTGTAGCCAACCTGGTGTACGATACGCATAAGCTTGTCTGGAAGTCCTGATTCGTCCCAGCTACGCATAGGATTCGGGATTCCGCCTCCTTTGGTAGCGATGCTGAAGTCCTCCTTGAAGATGCGCCAGTCGCGTTCCCGCATGTTCTCCAGTCTCTTCTCGCTCCAGTGCTTGTCTAGTTGTGCGCGGCCACTCTTATCCTTCCGCCGCCGCTCCATCTCAAGAAGTGCCTCAGCCCGTTCTTTGCCGTGTTCTGGATCTCGCTCCATGATTGCCTCAGCCATTTTCCTTGTGGTTGCGTCTGTAACTTCGTCGGAGAAGCCACCAAGTCTGCCACGTCCAAAGAAGCTTGCTTCAGCTTTCTGTTGGTAGATTGGGTTATAGTCGTGGCTGGTATCCTCTTCTTCGTTCCATTCAAAGTTAAACTTCTTTTCTGTCGTTCGCTTGCGCTTCTTCTTGGCTGAAAACGTTGACTGATTTTGCTCTGCGCCCATGTATCGTTGTCTTATCAGAGCCTCAGCGTCCTCGGCTGGACGCTTGTTGCCCTTCTTATCCGGTGGTGGTGGGGGTGCCATGTCTCCGTTTCTGCGGTCGTTTCGCATCGATGATGGTCCAGTCGGCGCATCGCGCATCGAACGAGGCCCTGTAGGTACGGACGAGGACGAGCCATTGTGACCATTGTAACTGGCGTGACCATTCGTGCGGTTGTGCTCTTGCGAGTGTCTCCAAACATCGCTGTCTCCGTTCGAAGCCTCTCGCCTCTTTTGCGCTTCCTCCACTTCTTTCTTCCGCTTCTCAAGCGCAATGCGCTCCCTCTCCGCTTTTGGTATGAATTTGGGCTTCGCGGCAGCCGCTTCTTTATCGCGCTTGGCCTTTAATATGTCGTCGATACTCGGGGGCTGCTTGCGAGCAGCTGGGGGCGGAACGGCGGCGGTCATCTTGGTTTTGCGGAGGTCACGGTTTGTAGAGTTGCGGAGGAGGATTCACGCGAACTATAGATCGCATGCACGCTAAGGCAACACCAGGTCACGTGCGTGATCACTATCGATAGTAAGCTGGCCCCGCTACATGGATCGGTTTGCCATACACTGCTTCAGATAATGGCGTCACATGTGTTATGTAGATGCTCATGTCCAGCCACCCAGTGTCGTCTATAGTTGCCTGGGGCTTTCCAGCTTGTCCTCGGATTTGTCATGACGGGCTCCAAGAACGTGTATGGACTTGGAGATACCTTCATTCAGGAGCTAATTCTAGCTGTCTGCGGTCCAGATGGCGTACCTAGAGCGATATCGCGTACATATCACAGCATGGTGTGATCTTGCCTCCTATTCTCGTCACAGCCATAAGGCAGATCTCCGGCACCCCATATTCATCGTAGCTCGTAAACATGATCATATGCCACCTCGTACCATACACCACCTCAGTCCTGCCTGCCCTTGAGTAACCGCTTGGTAACCTTGTCCTTCTCGATGATGTAAACGTGTGCGCCCCAACCTGAAAGTGCGTCTCGGTCGACGGCGTTGAGCAACGCCTGTGAGATTGTCTCGAAGAGGTCCTCGGGGCCCTACCATGAATGTTAGCTTGGTTCAATCTAAACATTGATACAACCCACCAGATCCGGCTCCCACAGTCCTTCACATGTACCGAACAGTTGATCGCTTGCGGTTCCGCTAACAATGAAGTCCTTCGCAAAGTCGATGCAACCAATGCTGTCGAATCCGCAAATGAAAGGCTTTCCACTCGTCTGGTTTATACCGGCAATAACCGGGCTAATGAAGTAGGGTCCAAAGCGCTTCTCGTACAGACTTGAGCTTACGAGGTTCGCCATGGTCTGAGGGCTGATGTTGCGCTCTTCGCGGAGACGGTACATGTTGACCTTGTAGCGGAAAAGGTCTGATACAGTGGATACATCGGTGGCGAGTCCTGTAAGACCTAGGAAGACGTCGCCGTACTGGAAGATCTTGGGGAAGTTGTTGGACACGGTGAGGGCTTGCATGCCGAGACGCAAGTCGCATGCTATGGCTACGCAGTCCTTGCCCACCATGGCCACACAGGCACCGCCGTCTGTTCAAATAGTCAGAAGAGTATGCGTGGAGGTTTCCGTGGAAGCGTACTTATGGAGAATGGTGACGACTGGTGCGGTTAGCTATGGACTGCATGTTGACAGCGGGATTACTTACCATGGCTGTGTATTTGATGTGTTTTCCGCCTTGGTCTGTGACTTGTAGCAGAGAGGGGGAAACGACTCTCTGGCGTGTGTTGAAAGCTGTGGTGTTGGTTGTGGTTGTGATGTACTCAGATAGGTAGCAATAGCTACGCGGCGGCCAGGCGGCGCGAGTAGCTCCACCCTGGACCTCGTAGCCTTGGCGCGAACTTTTGACATGCACCAACAGACACGCCCATAGCGATCGCAACGCACAAGATACCCACCATGAGCGCCCAAAAGTCTGTCGAGATTGCAAAGTCACTGCCGCCGCGGTTACTGCGCTTCTTCCAAAAGTACCCGCCGCCATCGCTCTTTCCCAGTCTCTCCTCTCAACTCGCATCGCCGACTTCACACTCAACCCCAGACACAATATCGACAACCCCACCAACCGACCCCAATGCCTCCATGACCGAGGCGTCGGCGCCGGAGGTCACACCCAGACCCTCAAATGCGCCCTCGAGTTCAAATATACCGCCAGAAGCGCACGATCTGCCGTACCCAAATCCATTTCTCCCACATAAGAACTTCGCAACCGGACGGTGGCACTCCCCCGCTTACGGTCTACGGAAGCAAGCCGACCTCGTAAAGCTCGCATCAGAACATGGCGTCGTTGATCTCCTCCCCTGGACCATCAAGAAGCCAGGCGAGAAGGAAAGGCGGAGGGTAGAAAGAGGACTGCAAGTTAAGGGCACAGGCGAGGGACAGAAGGTCAAGGGAAAGCTCTGGGAGCGAACATTGAAGGGACGTCTAGAGATGAGGAGGCAAGCTATGCTGAACATGCCCGCTTTGATCCAGGAATGGAAGCAGAGGGGACATGGAAGAGGTTGGAAGAAGTGGCCGAGTGGAAAGGCGAAATAGACTGCATCTTCTTGAACCCCTTTGGAAAACAACCGTTCGAATGTACCAATACTGTTTTGTTTCATCACACAACGAAACCTAAGTGCAGCTCAATCGATACATTGCAATGTAGTTCTGCCTGGGTATCCTGCTAACCGAAGTATCTCATGTACGACAATCCTTCGACGTTATTGTTCGCGTGTGCAACTAGTTCTGGGTATAATATAGGAAACAAGGATGTGCACACAGGCGTGCCAACGTATAAACTCGTCAGGGCCCCTATCCTCAGGGAGTCCGACATAGCGACATCATGTTTTACATGACCATCTCCTCATCGCCATATCCGCCGTGCAGTCCATATTCTCGCGCATATGCATACGCCCCGTAAGTGTTCTCCATATCCGCGACGCTACTCGCGTTCTTCTGCCAGAGCCCATTGCTCCCTGTGTTGTTGTAGACCGGGTCGGTGGCCTGGTTGTACTTGTTCGATTCTTTCTCAGCTCGCGCCGACTGTTCATACTCGCGCCTAGCCATCATCTCATATCCCGACGCCATATAGGGTTCAGCTGCTGCAGACATGCTCTGTTCCAGATGCTGCTGGTGCTGCTGAATAGCCTCTTGTTGCGCCGACTCTGCCTGCTGCTTCTCGTATCTCAACTTCGCCATTGCCTCCTCCTGTGCTAGGCTGGTGGGCGGCCAGTCGTAAAGCTGTCTAGACATGTTGTAGTCTACGCCTGCTGGGTGGCCTTGACGCCCTGATGGAGGAGATATACGCCAAAGCTCCAGGAGACGGAGCCGTTGATCATCATCCGCATTTTGGAAGAGCTCGATCTGTGAAGGGAACAGAAGAGTGGGGTCGATGCTGTTCCTTAGGAGTACAGCCGCGAGATCCGACGAGTCGATGTGCGTCTTCAAGGCCGGCTCGGAGGAACTGCGAGTAGGTACGTGGTATGAATGGGTGTAGTGTTGGGAAGCGTAGACGATCTGCTTCGGGGTCTCTTCTTGCTCTTGCTCTTGCTGCTGCATTTGTTGCTCTTGGTGCATCCGTGGTTGCATGGGCTGTACGTTTCCTTGCGACAAGTTCATATTGGCTGAAAACAACCGGGTAAGCTCATCTTGCTGCATGTTTGCGTCTTCTGCTGCTTTCCCCTGGACGTTGATACCTGTAGATATTGTGCCGCACTATGACGTAATGTTAGTATCTAGTAGCATCGACCGATGATGATCGAGCTTACGTTTGAGCAAGAGATATTCTGAGAGAAAACGAAAGGACTGTACGAGATGGGCGTGTCGTAAGTGCAGTTGCAGTGGTGGAGGAGCTGCATATCCTCTAGGGTCTCAACAGCAAGCGGTATGAGGGGCAACTTGGAAAAAAGAAGGTTGGAAAACTGTATCAGTCGTCGAATCGAATGACACTTGTAACGATAGAATATCTTGGGCACTCGAACTTATGTTTCGCTGCTAGGCTTTGATATTGGCTCGTACTATCCGCGCGTGCGTTGGTTGGGCGCTGACGACAATCGGCGGGGAAGGGGTCAAAGGCGCTGTGAGTCAGGAACAAACAGAGAAAGGTATTCAGAGACACTTGAATCAAGTCAGCAGTGAAGAGGGGTCAGTAGGAAAATTAGCAGCAGCGTGATGGTGGTTCTTTATGTACCGTTAAGTATAGCGTGCTGTTGGGGTCATGCGTGTAGGCGGGATGATTCTGATAATTTTGTCGCCCACATCCAATTAGTGACGAAGCTGAAACCCAACTTGTTCGGCTAGTCTTTGGACAGCCAATGATGTGTCTCTGGAGCTTGTAAATAGTGGTCGGTTTGGGACGACAACTCATCAAATGTGTATGGGCGTATGCACTTTTGGATGTAGGTGTGTGCAATTGGAGCGGTCCAGGCGGAAGAAGCCGGGACAACAGACAGCGGATACGCGAATACAGGAGAGACCAGCAATGAGAGGACGGATCGCACCAACTGGTTTCGAGAACGTCACAAGGGACCCGGAAGATCGCAACGTTTGCGGGCGTTGTGACTTGCGTACGTCGGTGCTGATGCCTCTACAGTGGGTGTCGGGGACCGGGGATGATCTCCTTGGCGCGCTAGTGAGCTACTGGAGCTTGCGCAGATACACCATTGCCTAGAATCATCAACACCGGGACGCTCGACTTTCAACGTTTGCTAATACGGTAATTGTTCCTTTACAACCCAGGGACTACTTGACATCTCGAAAAACTCACATCGCCGTCTTCAGTCTTCACCCCACCCACCATGGTAAACACCCCACCGCAACAGTGCAAGCACCCCAGTCGATCTAACCATGGTGTAGACTTCAATAGGCACGGGTTACGACCTGTCCAACTCGGTCTTCTCCCCCGATGGTCGAAACTTCCAGGTCGAATACGCGGTCAAGGCGGTCGAGAACGGTGGCACAGCGGTTGGCATTAAGTGCAAGGATGGCGTCGTACTCGCTCTCGAGAAGCTCGTCAGCAGCAAGCTCCTCAAGCCAGGCGCGAACAAGCGGATAGCAACCGTAGACCGTAATATGGGCATCGTATCTTCCGGTCTCCTCCCCGACGGTCGCCACTTCGTCTCCCGCGCCCGCGATGAAGCAGCTCAATGGCGGCAGATGTACAAGGCACCCATTCCCTCTTCGTCTCTTGCCGACCGCATGGGAAGTTATGCCCAAGCGTATACTCTATACTCCAGTGTCCGTCCATTTGGTATAACCGCCATCCTTGCAGGCTGGGATTCTGAGGCAGAGCTACCAGTAGATGGCCAAGTCGGTTCTGGGCCTGCTGTTGGTTCGGGAGGCAAGAAGGAGGGTGCGAAGCACGGTGGGCCATCACTCTACATGATTGAGCCCAGCGGTCTATATTGGGTATGCAGAATCATCTTGTCGAGACATAGGCAATAACTAACGCGCATAGGGTTACTACGGTGCGGCTACAGGCAAGGGCCGCCAGGTCGCCAAGTCGGAGCTTGAGAAGCTCAACCTCGCTGAAGGACAGCTATCACTGGAGGAGGGTGTCAAGGAGGCAGCACGCATCATCTACGTCGCGCACGATGACAACAAGGACAAGGAGTTTGAGCTTGAGATGACATGGATCAGCAGTCTCGACGGTCCTACCAAGGGCAGGCACGAAGAAGTACCCAAAGACATCCGGGAAGAGGCTGAGAAGTTAGCAAAGAAGGCACTAGAGGGAGACGACGATGATGACGAGGACGAGGAGAAGATGGAGGAGTAGACGACGACATGACACTGCGTAGACGGTAACATGCATAACGAGCGGCTTTCATTGCCTTTCACGATCAAATGAACAACATTTACAGAAGCAAGCACGGTAATGTCACTCTCACGTTCGGCCCGCCTACCAAACTTGCTTCGTCGCTCCTGCCATTTATGGATTGACATCATCGACGAATCGCCATGCAGGTACATCCGCCCCACTACTGTAGCGCGTCACCTGCAAGCCGAGTTTGAAAACCAAGTCAACAACTTCCATAAGTACCATACGTCACGCGTCTCTCCCTCCACCTACACTCCCTCTATCTAACCAATTGCTGTTTGCCATCATGCCGCCAACTCTTATACTTATCCGCCATGCTCAGGCAGAACACAATGCCACCAGCGACTGGTCTATCCGTGATCCTCCACTTACCGAGCTGGGCGAACAGCAATCCCGCGAGCTACACGAGAGTCTGAAAGCGAGCAAGATCGGCAACGAAGTTGAACTCATTGTTGTGAGCGCTCAAAGACGGACGCTTCAGACTGCCACTATTGGACTAGACTGGCTTATCAAGAAGAGTACAAAAGGTAAGGTTGTTCACGGAATGTGAAGACGCTCATTTCTATACCCGTGTAACATGAGTTCTGATTCGCTTTACAGTTATACCTGACGCAAACTGGCAAGAAAATGCCGACAAGCCCTGTGATACTGGAACACCCATCGACCAGATCTCTAAAGAATTCCCGCAATACGACTTCTCAGTTGTAGACCCTTCGTTCCCAGATAAGACAACAGGCGGAGCCAAAAACCCATACGCCTTTACCGAAAAGGCTATCCTAGCACGTGGACAGAGATGTCTCAAGGACCTCTACTCGCGTCCCGAGAAGGTTATTGCCGTTGTCTCGCATTCGGGTTTCCTGCGCACGGGTGTGTGCAACCGCATGTTCTTCAACGCCGACTGGCGTGTCTTTGAGTTTGATGAGGATGAGATGAAGAAGAATGCTGGATTCTTCGTGTTGAAGGAGAGTGAGGAGACGGAGAAGAAGGGCGGAGGTATGGGCAGAAGTGATATCGGCGTCTTTGGTATCGTACCTGGGGACTTCCCGCCGGAGGTTGAGGAGGAGATTGCTGCGAACAAGGCACAGGTTGACGATGAGGCTACTAAGCAGAATCCGAGTGCTTGAGCCTCATAAAGTTGGGTCATTTAAGATTTTTCTGCTACCGAATGTACGTCCTTAGGAGTCTTCCATCAATTAGAAACATAGAATCGGGTAGACACATAGACTCAAAAATGAGGAGGACAGTCGGAATGATGTCGACAGATGCTAGTCTGAGCATATCATTTGCATGAGCATAATGCGTCTTCACAATAGCGAGTGGCATACATCGTACTCACTTAAACAGTATTGATGTCTCTTGGGCCGATCCTTTGAATGTCTAATGCGCCCATGGTCTCGAAACAATACTCGTCATGCTCCTCGAACCAGTGGAAGATGATTTCTCCACTCTGCATGTTTCTCCCTCCATGCTGCATTGAACCCAGCCATTGCCGCCTGTTCTGTCGAGCCAATGATAGCTAATCCGACAGCCTGTCCGAAGAGCTGGTGCAGATCCTTACTTGCCTCTACCAGCCTTCTGTTATCAGCCCAGTGAAGCTCAACATTCTTGGTCCAATGTGTCTCAACATGCACCTTGGCGATTTGAAGTCCCGACTGACAATGTACAGGTTGGGTTGACGCTGTCTTTCCACTCGCCAGTTCTTTGGGACATGCCAACCACCGAAACTGGAGCAAAGGCCTCAACCATTTTTCACGCAGGCTGAGCTTCGGAGCGGCTTCGTGAACTTTCATCCAGACCTCAAGCTCGTGTAGACTTGTGAGCTTCTTCGAGGCGGTCTTACAAGCTCGCTGCCTAGAAGTGAGCACAGTGTTAGTTACTTTTGCGTATAGCATGCAAGAGCACAGCCGAGCCCACGAAGCACATCATAGTACTTACCAACTCTGGCTGTGCTTTTCTTGCCAGATTCGGAAATCGGTTCTATGAGGGTGACCATAGGTGTTGTAGTGGAGATGCAATTTGGTGATGTTCTCAATTCCAACGCTGGAGGCGAATCTGAAGAAATTGACCATGCGCTTTGGCGCGTTGAACACAAAGACTGTCTTCTGGTATAGGAAGGTTGCTGTCTCCGAGTAGATTTGCTTGCATACAAGACTCAGGGCATGCAGCGAACCCTGCCAATTCGTGCATAATCCCCGGACAGCATTGTACTTACCAAGTGGTCTTGGGAAGCGGACCGCGGTAGGAGGAATAATATTTGCCTCAGATTTATGCGCCGGAGTGGTATCTTTCGCAAGAGCAAGATTCAATGACAGCTTGACGGTTTGCGGCGATCGCTGTGTAAATTGGGCTCCATTACCGACAATCTCACAGCGGCGCTCCGACTCAAAGTAGTAGTTGTAAATCTGGTTTCTGATCTCTCCGGGTAAAGCAAGGAAGCCGCGTATCTTGTTTGGCGCATGCACCGCCGACCTGCGAGCGCGGGAGAAGAAAGTGGTTGTAACCATGTCTTTAAGCTTCCCAAGCGGTGAAAGCTGAGACTATCTGTTAGCCGTAGATAACAGTTAGCTATGGTTCAAGGTCGGATCAAGTTGGTGAGAATGTGGTAGCTGCCGTACCAGTAAAGATGGGGAGTGGAGAACAACATCAATGGTCAATTGATGCTAGCAAGCCTGGGCCCTGAGCTAGCCCCACCTAAGGTTAGTGTACACGTACATTCCTCGTCTCTGCGACAATCGCCCCTCCCCATACCGCCTTATTATCATTATGTCGCTACTCTCGCGCCAGCGTATCCTCCTTCGTCAGCCTCAATTCTTCGCAACTCGCGCCTTTACCTCCTCTAGGGTAAACGCATCTCGTCTCCGTCAACCAGGCGAACCAACAGGCCCCAACGAAGTAAGTTGTGACCCTACGAAATGCATGCGAGGCATACACTGACCCCATATCTTCATCCCTGCAGCCTCCGACACACATCCGGACTCCGCCTTCCAAATCTCCCCTCAAGGTCTGGCCTATCCTCGCTATCTTGGGACTAGGCACATACCTGTTCAACCAGATCGTTGAGCAGCGCAAAGGCGAGGGATACCAACCCAAAGGACCGATTCAGGGCCATTCACCCAGTGGCAAAGGACAAGTGAAGCCTTCGCATCCTCACTAGCCAATATGCCTGCTATCGAAGGAACTGCCGCCGGCAGCCGCTCTTCTCCTCTCTGGTCCAGCGACGAAGTCACTGTACTCTTCGTCCTCGGTGGTCCTGGTGCAGGAAAGGGCACTCAATGTACAAAGCTCGTCAGCGACTATGGCTTCAAGCATCTCTCTGCTGGCGACCTGCTTCGTGAGGAGCAGGACCGTGCGGGCAGCGAGTTCGGCGAGATGATCAAGACATACATTAAGGAGGGCACCATTGTGCCAATGGAGGTCACCGTTCAGCTGCTGGAGAATGCTATGAAGAGTAGCATTGAGAGCGGAGAGAACCACGGAAAATTGTTCTTGATTGATGGTACGATGCCCAATACAACTAGTCTTCCTCTATCGTCTAACATTAACAGGTTTCCCACGAAAACTCGACCAAGCTCACGCATTCGAGCGCTCTGTCTGCCCATCCAAGTTCACCATCTTTTTTGACTGCTCCGAGGCCGTCATGGAGAAGAGACTTCTCCACCGTGGCGAGACATCCGGTCGCGCGGACGATAACCCGGAGAGTATCCGAAAGCGCTTCAGGACATTCGTGGAGACAAGCATGCCTGTGGTCAAAGAGTTTGAATCGCAGGACAGGGTTGTCAAGATAAACGCGGAACAGGAGCCAGACCAGGTCTACCGGGATGTGCAGGAGAAGCTCAAGGAGCGTGGCGTGAAGCCCATCAATCTTACATTTGTACAGACACAGGCTTCATAGACAGTGGGAGGGGCGCAAGAATCAATATATCTGAATTGCATTGTCTATCATGCAGCTCGAGGGCTGCTGTTCATGAACCTGAAAAGCCTCATAATGCATCCGTCCCAAGCTTACCCCTTTTGAAAGAAACAAACGCGAATCAAGTCGCTGCAGCCACTTAGTCCATATCTTCATCGATGGCCCTGTGCTGCTTCCTCTGTCCACCCCGTCCGCCGAACCTCGAGGACATATCAGCCTTCTGGTCTGCCTTGTTTGCCTCGTCCTCCTTCTCCTGCAAGAACCTCTGCTTCTCTTGCTTAATGACGTCCAGAACACCTTGTAGACTGTTTCGCCATAGGTTTAACCTGGAGTCCACCTCTCTCCACTGGTTTTCGCCAAAGACGCGGTATGTTGAGCGGTGGATCAGGAAGGTCTGGTTGAGCTGGCTGAGCTTGCCCTCGACAAGACCCGCGCGGATTACGTCGATAACCCACATCTCGACGTCTTCAGATGGTACTTGTAGTTTGTTTGCGATCTTCTCGTAGGGAAGCGACCTGGTCTGACCGGCGGATGCAGCCATGGATGCGAGAGTGAGAAGGCGCATCTTGCGGTTCAAGGCAGCGCCGTCGAGACCGGACTCCTCAACCCAGCCATCGTGTTCATCCTTGAAGTCGTTGAAGTCCTCTAGCAGATCCGAGTTGAAGATCTCGAGGAGCTGGAAGTAGACAGGGTCGGAGTTGCGGAGGGCCTGGATCGAGTCGAGATCGGTAAGATCTTGGAAGTCGAAGTGGGTGGGGTGGGTAAGGGCCGACTTGAGGGCGCGGAGAGAAAGCTCACGAGCCTCTGGGGACGATGCTTGTTCTGAAGGGAACGTCCTAAGCGCGCGTAGCAAATATGTGTATGCCTGCTCGTCCTCGCCAGCGTCCGATGCGACGTCGCTAACAGCAAGGTAAAGCTTGCGCGCATTCTCCTCCCCAGTCTGCCATGCAGCTATCCAGCTGTCGAGCTGCTTCAGTTGTGGTCGTAGCGTCTCGAAATTTGATGTAGCGCGAATGACACGGAGAATGGCGAGGAGCACGTGGTAGCGCGTTTCGCTGTCCGGCTGGGTGGTGTTGAAGATGGTGCTGAGGATGGAGAGAGCCAGACCACCACCGTTCTGAGGCGACGAAGAGATAGGTGTGCTAAGGTTCTGGCACATCTTGGGGATGAACACGGACACATTCGGCGACTGGTTTACGAGGTGGATAAGCAGGTTGTATGCCGCAATGAATTCTGCGCGCTCATTGTTAGCCCAGTGTCTTCTCCCATCAACACACGCCCTCTCGTGTCATGACTGAAGCCGTACCCTTCTCTGGCGCCTGGTTCAGCGCTTGGCTACCGACGACGAGCTTCTTGAGAACATCGTCCTTCTTGTTCTCCTTGAGCAGGTCTGCGCTCTCGCCCTGGAGGTTGGCGCTCTCATCGCCCTGGGATTTTTTGAGGCTGTCAATGTATTGTGCGAACTCGTCGGTAAGCTCCTCGAAGGTGCCCTCGATGAGCAGCGTGGTCTTGGCGCCCGGCATGGTGAGTGTCGTAGAGTCTGGTATTAGGGGAGAGTGTAGGCGGCGGGCGCAGAGGGCGGGGTTGGTGGATTGTCGACAATGGGAGCGGCGTTGGTGGGATGCCAAGATTGGAGTTGGATTTTTGGGAAGTCGCTATCGATAACGCACAGACTTGACCCAACACAACCGGAACCATTTGCTACGTTGAAGAAACACCACACCGGTGGATATTACACTCCCAAGATCGAACCCTTGGAAGCGTCACAAATGTCAGATCTAGACTTGTCACCATTCGCAACGAACTGTTGCTATCCCTTGCACTAACATATCAGCTTCAAACCTACTTACGGCTTCTAGTAGGGCATCCAGGCACTCGCCGTCTTGTAATGCAAGCTCATACGCACCACCTTCGACTTCAGGGTGCACCGTGACGAAGGATCTTTCCGTCAGTGCATTCCCGTCTCCGACGTCCAAGATGTTGTTGTACAAGATGAAGATCCTCCGTTCGGCCAACTCTCACTCAAGAACTCCAATTGGACTTGGACGCAAAACGTGGCTCATGTACAGGAGTTCGCTAGACTGATTGCGTCCATGCAGTACTACCTGTCGATCAATGTCCTCTGCCACGTGAAGTTCCTACGTATCTGTTACTTTATACCGAAGGAGAGAGAACTTACTAGCGGTGTGTTGGCTGCTAGTGAGTACGTAGATGCCGATATTGGAGGGGCTGGCTGGAAGGGACACCCATTGATTGTCGACCGTGGGGCCATCCCTACGGCAAATAGTCAGTGTCTCAGATCGGAAATCGTGTTTCTAAGGACCCATACAATGAGGACTTTAGTTGATAAAATTGGGTACCCCGAGCTGCTAGTACATCTAGCTGAGCTCGTCTACCAAATGACCATGCCGTAGCACTTCTGGGCGGACATGTAGCAAGAGCAAGGAGCAGTTTCATGTTGGGTTGACGAGCTAACGAATTTCCTGCAATCGATAGGAAAAGACTCCTGTCAAGTGCCGAACATATACAAACGTGTTTTGCGGGGGTGACAGGGGGTGACCCTTTCAGCCTACAATATATCGAAGTCGCTTAGGCTCGAGCCTCATCTATAAGCACATGTTTGTCTTAATATCTCTTGGTTTGTATTAAACATGTTGTGGCAGACCTGTACACCGATAGCATAACTGTAGTGGAGGCGATGGACCCCCTTGTTGCTGTGGGGCCTTTATAATGTAGTATGCTGACTGCTCGCAATCGTGAGCAATTCCTTGACGCTTTGAAAGTCAATTGTTTTACCAAGGTTTTATCAAGATGAAGTTCACAGCTGTTGTATCGTTGCTTCTCGCTACATCGGCCTTCGCGCAAACTACTCCCTTAGGCTTCACTCCTGCGACAAATAAAACACTGGACGTATACTACGGGACACAGTATATCAGTCCTGGTATCATCGTCAGAAAGTCTAGTATGAGTGCAAGATGTGAGGGAAGAAATAACTATGCTAATGCTAATCAGTCACGCAAAGAGCTCCTGTCATCGGTCTCAGCAACACGACACTTAGCGGGAAATACTTACTTGCAATGATCGGTATGTTGCAAAATTACTTTTGCAAAGGTAATCATAATAACACCATGAAGACATAGATGGTTCTCAGAACGGCCGTACAACAACTGTCTTGCATGCCCTTCTGCAGGATTATACAGCATCTGGCAACAAGCAGAACGGCACGTCTGTCCTCACTACGACAGCTACAACGCCTTCGTCATACTTTGGTCCTGCGCCTCCTGCTGGCGCGCCTCCCACTCATCGTTACGTATTCTTGCTGCATGAGCAGCCAGCAAACTTCGCAGTACCGGCTGCGCACAAACAAGCCGTCAGCAGCAGATTCGGGATCGATTGGCCAAAGTTCATAGCGGATGCCGGGCTCAAAGCGCCGATTGCTGGAAACTATCTGCAAGTGAAGAGTGGGGATAACACAAAGAGGTGGGATGCATAAGAAGGCGCTCGTTGACTCGAGGTTGCATTATCTAGCATCTCGTACATTGATAGTTTCTTATTGCGTAAACCTGGCGGATACATTCGTGATGCATCTGCGCATCAACTAGTATTTTTGTTCAACTCAGAACTCTAGCTCTCCAAACCCAATGACGAACCATCTGCAATCTTGAACCTATCCTCAACTTATACCGCCGTGCAGTTCAAGTTGTTTCCCAGAGTAATTTTGAACACTTCCAGAAGACACTGATACGCGCGGTCGCCATCTTCACTCAACTCTTCACTGCTTTCGATCACATATGTGCCACCTGGTATGATTATACCATTGTAGTACACAATCGTGTCTACGGCTTGGGCATTACATGCTATCATTGTCAACATCCAACACTTGAGCTTCAAATCTCTGTGCAATACGCACCTTTCTTCTCGTTTGACCACATCCACCCAATGCTATATAGCGTCTGATCGTAGTGTGGGATGAGTCCGGTAGTGTCGTAGACGACTCGTCGTCTTCTCAGGTCGTTCTCCGCCCATGAACTATCTGTAACGGCATAGCTGATACATTTTTCGGCTTTGTGTGCGATCTTGTCGATGGCTGTTACGCCACTAATGGCTGCTGCGAGGATGGCGATGAGGTTGGTTTTGCGCATTATAGCGACATATGCTGGAACGTGTGTGAAGACGTCTGAATGATTACGGAGGAAAGAATTATTGGGCGTATTGTTTGATATGTTGTCCGGGGCAAAGAGGCGGGTTTGTTATGGGCACGGAATGGGGAACCGATCTTCTACCGTGGTACTTGGATAGCGGGAATAACACTAATACTGAGGTATTATCTCACCACTTCAGGACACTCATAACACGAATTTCAGATCCGTGCCTGTAGATAGCCCGTCTGTGGGTTTTCAGACATGTGCTAAACATTTGAAGGTGTCGATTGCGTTTCGGATCTCGTTCATATCTCAACATATCCTAGGAGGTATATGGCAAAATTTAGCACCCGCGCGATCACTGATAAGATGCTGTGCCATACCAAAAGATGTGCTCAAGAGTTAAGAATTTGGAACATTGTATTGTATTTGTCATGTTATCGCTCACTGTAAGCCAAGCATAACTAAAGTAGCTACATGAAGGGAATCTTGTGGTCAGCCCCATCGCACCCATACCTGAGTACACCCAATCAATGCCCGAAAGCTTGTGAGTTACCCGCATTGATCTTAGCAAACTCCTTGTTCTCTTTCTGCCACTTTCTCGCATATCTGACACCAAAGCCATGTTCAAACACCTCACGGATAGCCTCGAGCGGCATTCCCTTGACTTCTGGGAAGCAGAAGATGACAAAGAGCCAACCGGCAAAGCAGATGCCTGCATAGAAGCCAAAGGCCCCTGATGGAGTAATACCCTTCATCATAGAAAGGAAGGTTGAGGCGATAATAATGTTGGTACTCCAACATGTGACTGTGTTGAGCATCGTACCAACCGCCCTAACCTCCATGGGGATCAACTCGGTGCCGATCCATGCGACAGTTGCGACTCCACTAGAGTAAAAGCCAACAAAGATGATGATTGTAGCAATGAGCACATAACCTGGCCAGCCGATCTCATCGCTCTGAACAGCCAAAGTGTGTAAGTCGATTGGGATGTAAGAGAAGCTGACGGCAGCAATGACGAGACAGATACTCATTCCCAAGACTGTCACCAAGAGTATGCGACGGCGACCGAACTTGTCGACGATGACAAGGTTGACGAGCGAGAAGATAAAGTTCGTAGCGGAAACGGTGATGGCGACAGCGGTGGCGTTGTTAAACCCTACGATCTTGAAGAGAGTTGCGGAGTAGTACATGAGCGTGTTGAAGCCAGACAATTGAGAGATGGCCATGATTGTGCATGCTACAAATACAGCGCGAAATGTGGATCCGGTCGTGAAGATGCGGGCTAGCGTCTTGAACACTGAGTCGTCTACCATTGTTTGTGTAGCCTCGTTGATGCTCATCTCTATGCTCATAATCTTCGCACGGCGCTGCTCTTCAGTCGAAGTCGGATAGAGACGTGTAAGGATGACACTGGCTTCGTCTGCTTTGCCATGTGCGACTAATTGACGGGGAGACTCAGGGCAGAGAGTCAAAAGGCCGGCGAGGAGGATTGCGGGTGCCGCACCAATGCCAACTGTTGCCCTCCATGCCTGCGAGTTGGCGCCTCCAACTTGCGCGAAGCCGGCACCGATGGCTGAGGCTAGTAGTTGACCGAACGTAACACTCATGTTATTGAAAGCGATCATGCGGCCGCGATACTTGGCTGGTGCTAATTCGGATATGTAGAGAGGGACTACCATAGCCGCCGAACCGACGCCAAGGCCTACAACGAAGCGGCCTATAGCAAATTGTGGGAGATGGTATGCGGCCGTCTGGAGTACTGTACCAATGACGAAGACACCGCAGGCCAAGAAAATGGGTAGCTTGCGACCGTATTTGTCGGCAATCATGCCAGCAATAACGGCTCCTACGAGTGCTCCCCCAGAAGTAAGCGAGGTGACAAGTTCTTGCTCGGAGGAAGTGAGTTCGTGGCCGAGAGATGTGCCGATAGTGACGAGGACCGAAGAGATGTAGCCAGTATCGTAGCCTCGAAATAGTCAGCATGATTCAAACAAGTGACCTTACTCAGCGATAGGGATACATACCGAAAAGGAGACCACCGAGAGAAACGGTCATGGAGATCAGCCAAGCAGCCTTTGAAGCGGCTGTGGCCTCAATACCAGAGAGATTTGCGATTTGTTCCGCATGTTCGCGTGCAGTCGTAATATCTTCAATCTTGTCGATGCTAGAAGACCTCTCGTTGAAAATGTCGACTTTCTTCGTGTCCGATGAAGTTTGAGCCATGTTGACTGATATTGGCGGCGATGAGGAGGCAAAAAAGGATGTGAAGTGTTGACCTGAAGCCAGCAATGCAGCGATGATCGTCGAGGCTCGAAAGCTTGCGATGATTGAGGACCATATTCAGGGAGATCTCACGTCCTACTTATGTTAATTGTGTAGTTTCAAGTCGACACTTCGGAAAGGGCCGGCGCGACACGCAACCAGGCTCGACGCGAAGAAGTTTGGCAAGCTAACATGGATTGCCACGTTGGGACTTGTTCTGCCATCATCGCATGGCCTTTCCCCAGACTTCTGGTCGTGTGTCTCCGCAATCTCATCCGGCATGCGTCATTTTTCGCTTCGCACCCGCTGGGGTACATAGCAAAACGCGGGGGTGGGCCCAGAGACCTGGGCAAACGGGCGTGGAGCAACTGACTGACATTTCAATCGGTTGCTGCACATTGGTTGAGATGGGCATGGCGGGCCGAGAACACTGTTCGCGCGTGCGGCTGAGGTGTTGAAAATAGGAAGTCTGCGGCATAGACTTCTACGTTGGGTACTGCAAGCTTGGGCTCCAGTGCCCGTGTCCTGCGGGGTTGCTATATCGAGCGCTGCAGCTGGGTGAACAGGTATGATCCGACACGTCTACCGCGACTTTCTAGAAAGACATCAATGCCGACAGAAGGTCACCGAAAACCATGCGGCTTTTGATATATCTGATGCCCTAGTGGATACACAGATCCCACGGTATGACGTATGCGTAGACCAAGGGAATAGCAACAACGGCATACTCTGAGGTTGGAGGTCTTCTGACAAGTTAAGTTATGGACTGTGGGCGTTTGGGAGCCGCATTCTCCGGGTGCACATGTGCAGACAATCATGTCGAAGGTCTGGCACGAGACTGGGCTTGTAGCCTCCAGTAGGTGTACGCGAGAAAAGGATTACTCAATTTTCGTACAATGCCGATCTGATGACCAAAGTTTTTCTGTTGTCCTGTTATCAAAGAAGAGGCCAAGATCTGAGCATGCAAGATGTTATTGATAACTCCACTCAAGAGTCAATCAAGACTCTTGGAGGGGAAGTAGACGCCAGACGGTGGGGCAAATTCGTAATTTGTCCTACTTGTCGTCGCCGCCGTTCGATGCGAGACACAGGATGGGACCGGCGGAGGTTTTCGGGTTTATTCAATACCAAAAATTGGACCTTCGTACTACCATTGACTTGGTGTCTTCACGGTAGGGATTGCAGTTACAGTAGGGCGAGCGTATCTTGTACATTATATTAACATTACGTATTGTTGTATAAGTCTAGTCATAATGAGGAAAACCATTCGTGTCGAGACCAATTGTTGATCCGAAAAATTGAGAGCATGAAACGCTACTTAGCTGCAACCGCAATCCATAGCTTGTCATGCCTTGCATTATCTCATTGAGAAGACCTGCCAGACACAACAACTTCTCCAGGAAGTCAAGGTACTATTCGCTTTTGGGGTGTTTGATAGGGTTGCCCTGCTCATCCACAAGTCCCTTCGCCCGCATAACCTTAAGGGCATCATGAATAGGGTCCAACTCTGGTTGCGGCGCCCTATGAGAGCCAAAGTAGGTGTCGGCAAAGGTAAAGTACTGCCCGTAGTTGACTGTGAAGTACATGTGGTGCAATGTGTGGTGGGCGGGACTGTTAATAAACTTTTCCGTCCAGTGGCCCGTGATCATGTCGCCGTCGTGAATGAAGATGGTCCAAATCTGGACACCAACGAAGAGGACCAAGTATAGGTACCTCTGCATTGGACAGATGAAGACAAAAAGGCTTTGAGGTCTTAGAAACGGGTTTTCTGAGAATATAGGTGACGGGCTACTTACTGGTATGGCAATGATTGCACAAACCCGTCAAGCGGGTGGAAGGCTAGCGCAGCCCATGGCGTAGGAACTGTTATTGTTAGCATCATCGTCTATATTTGCGAGAAAGTGACATGACGGTAAGAGCATTGCGAGCAAACAAAACTTACCAATCCATTTGTGGTGTGGCTTGTGGATGTATTTGTACACACTGGGGTGATGTTCCAGGCGGTGGATCCAGTAGATGGCAAAATCATTGAAAGCCATGTAAAGTGTGGCTGAAATCAACAACCAAGGCCAGCCATAGTCGCTGGTGTCGGCGTAGAGCAAGCTTTTGCCACGGACCTCGGCCAGGAAGATAGGCAGGGTCAAAAGATTGATGAATGGGACGGCGGAGAGTGAGGACACTATCTCTTGACGGACTTGGTTCTTCAAAAAGCGAGGGTGGTACTCGAGTCGTCGATCAAATACAAAATAATATGACAGAGAACTGAAAAAAAGGTAGAGAAGAGTCGCGCCGAGCTGAGTGATGACGAGTATCGATACGATCTGGCGATAGATGTTGTCGCGTGGCCATTGGGACGTGGGCGCGTCTTTAGTGGCCGAAAACTCAGAGTATGAGGAGTTCCCTAAGCTGAGGTCGGAAGCAGGCAATGCCCATGCGTAGGCCTTGTCCAAAACAAGAGGATTGAGAAACTCCAAAGCGACATCCATTGTAAACTGCTATGCAACGGCGGGCGTGAAAATTAGGTTGAACAGTGAAGGCAGCGGGAATAATTGTCGCACAAGTTACCGTTGAGGCGCGGATAGACTCGGTATCCGTGTTCCTTGGCTTGGCAGGGGTAAACTTGTTAAAAGTGGGGTACTTCGCCTCGTAAGATTGGTCATAATTTAGATTCTAGAAGCAAATTACCCCCAGACATCCGCCTTCCATTTCCCTCGCTTCTTCAACCCGTCGGCCCACGCCTTGACATCTACCTCAGCCAAGCCTTTCTTCTCCATGACAGCTTCCTCCAGCTTCATGTCTACCTCTCGCGCCATGCTCGCCTTACCGCAGATGTACATGTTCGCCCCTGACTCTAACATCTCCAGCACTTTGCCAGCTCGCTCCGCAACCCTGTCCTGCACATACGTTCTGGGTTGCCCCTGCATTCGTGAAAACGCAGTGACGATTTCTAGCTTGTCGCCTAGTTGCTCCTGCATCTTTACCAACTCGTCTTGGTAGATATAGTCATTCTGATTGCGGCAACCGAAGAACAACAACATCTTGCCGATGGGTTTACCAATCGCATGCAATTTCGCGCGTTCTTGGAGGAAAGCGCGGAATGGTGCGAATCCAGTACCTGCACTGATCAAGATCAATTGAGTCGATGATGTGATGGGGAGTTTGAACTTCGATTTCCTAACGTGCGCGAGGATTGTTTGACCTTGAAGGTCTACACTTTCGATTGTACGATGATAGACAGGAACGGGTGCATTCGTAGCGGACTGAAGGTTAGAGGCTGATAACAGGTAATTGGATGTCAGTCCATGGATGGTTGCTGTAGACTGATCTTCAGTCGTGATAGTCTTGTTCACGACGAGTGCAGTAATGGCAATTCGCCGTGGTGATATGACAGAGCTTGAAGAGATGGAGTAGTACCGTGGCTGCAGTGGTAGCAAGTTCTCTAGGACAAAGGCGAGCGGTATCGACCTCCACGCATCCTCGGGACTGACGAACTTGAGCAACCTAGCGAAAGTGATGTGTGTAGAAGCCGTAAACCGTTCGTAACGCTCACGATCCTGAGCGATATCGAGAAGCCTCGACTTCGCTCCAGGTGAGGGCGCAAACTGAGCGATTTCGAGCACTGCCTTACGAGCCACGGGAGCGCAAATTTCCAGATGATTCCGAAAAGCTGTCTCGAGCGTTGATGGAGACGGTACCTTTGGCTTATTGGCATGGGTCTTGGGTATGACAGTGAGGCGGTCCTGTCTGCGGTCTTGCAAGCCTAGGACGTCTAGCAATCGATTGACTTCTTCTTCAGGATTGATTGGCCAAACACCGACGTGGTCCCCGGTTTTGTACACGATGTCCGTATTCCCCAGATCTACCTCCAGATGTACGCAGTTGCGATCACTCGATTTGAACAACTCACGAGCGTGCTTGATGGTCAAAGGGACGATGGCTGAGTTGGTGACAGATCGTTGGTGGTGTACGGACGTGACGGAATACTCTTCGGAATCATGGCTCGAGGCGACGAGATCAACTTCGATGTTTGGCTCGTAGGTAATAGCCTTCTCCTGGAAGCCCATCCGTGTAAGCAGAGCAAAAACATTGTCTTTCCATGCCTGGTAGTCTTCTTCTGTTCCTCCGTTGGCGTCGTCCGCCCTCTGGCGTGGGATAAGCGCAGTAGCACCAGCAGCGTCGAGGGCATCCGCCACAACATCAAGGACCCTGTTATAGTACTTGTAGTTGCTGTTGCCAAGACCGAAAGCCAGATATCGCAAACTCTCAAGTCGAATCTTGTTCTCGCCAACGCGCTTGATCCAATCCCAAAGACCAGCTGTGTTATCGCTGGGATCGCCTTCGCCATATGTGCTCACGATGAAGATAGCGAAGTACTTCTTCTGGATGTTGGCAATGCTTTCGGCATCGTAATCGGAGAGGTCTGCGACCAGGGCGTTTATACCGAAGCGTGCGCCGCACTCTCGACCTAGGTTTTCAGCAAGTCGCTCTGATGTGCCAGACTGTGAGCCCCAGAATATGACACAATGGTAACCGCCCTCATCGAGGCGTTGGCAAACATCGCGGGTCGTGGTGGTCTTTCCGTCCGAAGAGCCCTCCGCGACTTGTGGCCTCTCGAAGTATATCTGGAGCGACATTGTGGTCAGTGACGCTGCTAGACTAAGGATACAGACTGATGAAGAAGCGGTTTTCTTACATGGTAATTTGGATCCGGCTTATCCCAAATGCGACCACGAGCGAGATAGCCGAGTGATGTGAGAAGAAAAAGAAGTGCAGCTAAGCCATCCGCTGTAGTCGAAGGCTTCAGACTACTGAACACGGGTGTCGTACTCAGCGCCTGTAGAAGGGGATTAAGCTGTGATCTCAGATCTGGAATATCGACCGGTAGACTGAACGAATCCATGACAGCGGAAGGATACAAAATGGCTACAGAAGTTTCGACGGGTTGAGTGAACAATATATCCGCGTTGAAGAGTATGGGCTTTCCTCAGTCAGCTTGCAGCATGCGGGCCATTAGAGACGAATACGCCAGCATTCGCACTGGCCAGGTGTTGGCGACGGACATTACTGCTAGAACTGTCCTGTTAGTGTAGTCCGAAAACTCAGTGTGGAAGCACTTCGAACTCTTGTGGAGTAACTCAAGGCATTCGGGTATAATCGTAGTAGACCAAAGTCGGGTTGATCATGAGGCGAGTAAACTACGGCACCCCCGCGTTACCCCACAGTTCAGCAATCGTCGGCGACCAAGAGTGGTTCCCCAGTTTAAGTCTGCAAGCGCGCATATGCTGCTCGTAGCAATACATGCCGGAATAGGTCATCATTCTCCGAAGTCTACCCTTCTGAGCTCCTGGGAGACTATCGTCATCCAATCTGTGTAGCTGCATCAACGGGCATTGAGGTGTCGCAACCAACACTTAAGTAAACCTCAGAGCGCACTCTCAAGAGTGGCTAACGGGATCACATTCAAACTTCCTGTCGTGTTGACCACGTTCTATCATGTCGACTGCAGCACTCTCAATCCCATATGCAGCTGCGCTAGGCGCATGCGCTTTTCTCTACTTTGTTGTATATCCGGTCATCGAATATTTTCGCGATGTTAACGGTATGTTGACCATCATAGATGACAAAGGAGCTTCAACTAACGACTCAGGTCTTCGACGCTATCCGAACATGCACCCGCTCTCGGGTATCTCTTCGATACCGTTCATGGTGCTTGCACACGGCGGGGCACGGTCCACATACTTAGAGAAGTTACATCGAAAGCATCCAGTCATCCGTGTTGGCCCCAACTTCCTGTCATACGGCGACCTTCGAGCTGTAAAGGATATCTATGGCCATAACACGCCCTGCACCAAGGACGGATCGTACGTGATTACTGCGGGCTCTCATTACCATCTTGCCGATGTGATAGACAAGCACGATCATGCCCGAAAGAGGAAATTGATGAGCTCCGCGTATGCTATCAAGAACCTGGAGGGCTGGGAACACAAAGTAGCCGACAAGACGCAGAAGCTACTGAAGCACTTCGACGAGTGCTGCACCGCCCCACTGGCACCTGGACAACTTCCGCAGTCTGAAGACGTAAACCTTGACTATCGCAAATGGACCAATTTCTTCACATTGGACGCCATTGCCGATATTGGACTCTCCGACAAGCTTGGATTCCTCGACCGAGGTCACGATAGAGTTACTGGACGTAGAACAGATGGCTCGACGTACGAGTGTGACTTTAGGCCAGCGCTATACAACACAGCCCGGAAACAGTCGTTGTTGATCTGGCCATATGATTGGTATCCGCTCATTAACAAACTCTCCAACATCATTCCCTTCTACAAGCGCATGAGCGAATATGCAAATGAATGGGAGGGCGTACCGGTTCAACTTGCTCACAAGCGCCTTGAGCGATACAGGGCAGGAGAGAAGCTCGACGACTTTTTCCAGACGCTAATGGAAGACAAGAACGGCCACCCAAACAACCTGGAGTGGGGCGAGATTATTGCGGAAGTGAGCATCATGATGAACGCCGGATCGGCGACAACAGCGATTGCGATGGCTAACGTCATGTATCAACTGATTAAGCACCCTGAAATCAAGAAGAAACTAGTACAAGAGATCGATTCGGCGTTGGAAGATGACGAAGAGGAAGGCGACGGAGTCATCGCCTATGACAGGGTGAAGCATCTACCTTATCTTCGCGCGTGCCTCGACGAGTCACTCCGCCTCTTCCCGCCGACCCCTCATGGGCTACCGCGACAAACGCCAACAGAAGGCGCGAACATCCTCGGTGACTACATCCCAGGTGGTGTCTCTGTCGCTATGTCTGCATACGTTGCGCATCGACAGGAGACCATGTTTCCACAACCCGATAAGTTCATTCCTGAGCGCTGGCTGGGTGAAGAGGGCAAGGCGTTGCAACCCTACTTTCTGGCTTTCTCGGCAGGCGCAAGAGGCTGCATTGGACGCAACATCTCATATCTTGAGCAAACTGTGGTGCTCGCGAGCGTGTTGCGACGCTATGACTTTGCGCTGAGCAGTCCAAACTGGGAGCTGCAACGGTTGGAGACGATGAACTGGATTCTGGGTGAGATGCCAGTGAAGATCTGGCGGCGAGAGCGAAAATCGGCACAGCAGGAGTAAGGAGAAGGCTTTTTGTTGCATAGCAGAGGTGTTTGGGTGCTTCATAGATCTGCGAATATAGCTCAAATTGATAGACGTGAAAGGTCGGTCGCATCATTTGGAAGAGACTCATTTTCCGTGTTGTATCGAGGAATGCATCCTGCGTGTGTTCGATATGCTGCGAGTCGATCATCTATCAAGGAGATGGACTGTGGAAGCCTTGATGGCGCGTTGTGGCGTAGAGTAGGCAGTGCATCACAGAGGACCGGTGCTTCTTCACTATGGTGAGGGCGCGCAAAGTTCGATCGAAGGGCGCGAACATCAACGCCCGGGTTCTTTCGCTCCCCGAACATAGCGGCTTAGCTCATTGATTGGCTTCCCCACACATGTACTACTGGGATTTCTCCGCTTCGCTGCATGTTATACATAAACGGTTCTACCCTAGTCTTCACATCTGAATCCATCAAATTATTTGATCAAAAACTTCGCCTATGTCCCAGCCTGTACAAAATCAGCCACCAACGGCGACTCCAGTACCGGTAGCTGAATCGTCGCCGGCCCCACCTCGTCCTGCGCGGTCAAAGAACGGTTGCAATGCGTGCAGGTATGCAGGAATTCCTTGATGCTCACCACCAATGCTCATCAACCTAGGAGACGGAAAGTGCGATGTAACGAGCAAAGACCACGTTGCGGTCATTGTGAAAGACTGAATCTCGACTGTAAGCTCAAACTTCAATGTACGCAATGTGTGTGAGAAATGCGCTGACTTCGCATACCAACAGGTACATGGCACCGGAACAGCACTTCCAAGCCATCTCAGCCATTTGTCACGGGACAGGGTCAGCACCAACCCTTGTTTTCTGGTCCACTACCATTCGACGGATATGGATTCGGTTTCGATCTATCTGGACCCTTGAGTTTGGGCACCTGGGATGAAGCCATGCTGTTGAGTCCCAGCTCGTGGCCAACCGACACCGGACCCTTCGCGAATGTGAATATGCATGCCGACCCTGTTCCGCAATCTATCCACCATCTCCCACACACTCAGAGGCCTTCTGGTCAGATTCTGGGAGTCACTACGACTGCCAATAATGGAGCGCGTGAATTGCCAGAGCGTAGACCAAACCAACCTGATCCAGCTTCAACTTCACCGTTCTCGACCGAGGATGCGCCGAATGGACCGAACGAAGACTATCTCTTACACACATTTCTTCAAATGCTCATGCCGCCTATCCTTACACCGGTGGAAATTGGTCCAAAGTGGGCATCCACCCGGGCCTTCTTTGCCACTTTAGCTGCAGAGTCACCTATCGTCAAGAGTGCCATCATAGCATTCGCCGCGATGCAGATGCAGCGTAGCGGGCTAGGTAACGACGTGGCCAAGGCAGATTGGAGGCCTTTGTACGAAATCGCAACTAGACAGGTATCAAGCCGCCTGGCAAAGACGCGAGTAGTCGAAGACAGCAATCTAAGGCACATGCTCGCCGCCCTTTTCTTGCTTACCTATACCGATTTACTTACGGAAATGCTGCCGCGAGCCCACGCCAACTTACGAGAAGCATACATGCTTATAAAGGGCGCGGACAAGATCAAGTTCTCTGTCCCAGAACGCCGACTTATTTCTTGGTTGCGTCTTCTCGATGCACGTGCTATCTCAACGGCAGGTGGTGAAGGACTCTTTTTAGCGGATACGGATGAGACCATCTTTGATGCATCGCCTGCTGCCAATCCCGGATCAGAACCGGACACGCCAGACACTGAGATTGAGGAAATCCTGTTTGATGTGTTATATCACCCCGGAATCATCTTCTATCAGAAGGTGCAGTCTTTCGCCGGCCGCATCACACGCATTGACCCCTGGCATCGTACACGCGGCACCGTTCAGGACGAGACAGAAGTGATGGCTATCGCAGCACAGATCTCTAAGGACCTGCATGCGCTTTACGGTCAGCGACCGGCATTGATGGATCATGCGGTCGCAGGAAACCTCACGGAGAAGCATCTAGCCAAGAATCTAGCAGGTGCGCTCACACGAAGCTTTCGCACATATCTCGCCAACTACCACGCCTCGTTCATACACTTACATCGCGTCGCGTATGTGCAGTACCCTAAGACCAGGGACGTCATAAGCGCTATCGCAAGTATAAAGCGTCTAACACATTTGATGGCGCAGACAGATGAGTCGCTGCCTGTTAACGTCTTATGGCCTCTCCTCATGTGGGGCTGCGAAGAGGATGATAACGAAGAAAGACGATGGATCATTGACGCAATTCGCGGTCTCGAGAGCATCGCTACCAATGCCAAGGCTACCGCCGATCTTCTGGAAGAAGTACAAAGAAGGCAAGATGAAGGCAAGAGAAGGGTTGACGTGCGTCTGGTCAGCCAGGAGTATTTTGCATCGTCGAATCATTTCGCTATTGTGTGACAGGTGCAGTTCAACATCAATGCCCATTGCAACTTCCCCAAGCACACGCTGTCGCTCTGTTTTTCGATCTCGGGCGAAAGTGGCAACGCGGAAAACCTTGCCATATACAGGTCAGTGCAGGAAGCACTTGTCATCTCTGGCACAGATCTGAGCCAATCAGATTGCAAATGATCCTCGGAGCACAGCTCCAATCGGGAAAATCTCCGCAACCTTCGATTCGTATCGCTTTAAACTGAGACAACGCGTGCCAGACTTGGAACACTGCATACGAAATGGGCGGGGTAAGTAGCCCGAATGAAAACTGACAACATGGGCTCGGTTTCCCGGCTCAACGTGGCAACCCCATCATTCACACTTCTTGGGATCCGTATTGTACGATGAGGCAGAGAAGCGGATGGTCAGTCAAACCGGCGCAATTAGTTTCAATGCACGCTAATTATTGAACAGTAAAGCCTGCCGTGAGCGTCATATCAAATGTACCACCTCTCACTATCCAATGAGATTCAAACGCTTAACATACAGGTGTGAAGTTGCGCGACTCGGAAAAATGCAAATATTGCACTGAGCGCAAAAAGCCATGCGTTCGCGGCAATGCCTTTCGCTTCCGTCCCGTCACAGCAGTGAAGTTCAATGCTGGTGAAGACATAGGTTCCGCAGAGCAATCGCTCGAATTCCGAGTGGGTCAGCAATGGGTGGACATCCCAAGTTCGTGTGCGTATGCGCCAGGTCCTATCCAACTACAGTGGCTGATAAAAAGTGGCGTAGTGCACTTTGTTGAGCCCAACAAGGATAGCGGTGACGAAGAAGAGTACGAAGCTGTGCCAGAAGGCGAAGCGAATCCCGAAAGCACGTCCAACGATGTTGATGTTACTTCGAATGTCCGACGACCAGACCAAAGTTTGGACGGAGTTTCCAGCGAGAGCCAACTGACATCGTCATATCGTGACGTAAACCCATTTGCGACCGTTCCGATTCCAGAATTCGACGATACTAGCGATTTGCCGTCCATCCACGACGTTCTCAGTACTACTCACATCCCACCATCCCTAGTTCATGGCACTAGTGCTGGGAGCAACAACGCATCGCAACATATTCGAGCCGCCTCTTCGATAAACCCACTAGCAAACACCAGCCACTGGCAAGCAAGCCCCGGATCACTTCAACGCCTATCGCAGTCTCCAAGTGTGTCAAAAAAGAGCCCTTTCGGGTCAATTACTAACAACCAGTCCCCTTACAACTCCACAGCATTCAGTCCTTCCTCAGCACCACCACTCAAGTGGCCTGTGAATAGTGCACACGAAGCACGTCTTTTCCATCATTACCTGTTCTTCTGCACTTCATGGATCGACGTATGCGATCCACGACGACACTTCGCTGTCGAGGTACCGAAACGTGCAGCCCACTTTCCTGTGATTTTAAACGGTATACTGGGTGTTGCCGCAAGGCACTGCTGGTTGATGGGTAAAGCCGCAGATGTGTCGCAGCCCTACATAGATCAGTGCTTACAAGCGCTGATCGTGGCGCTTGAGGATCCGCTGGCACATTGGGATGAGAACTTTCTTATCGCTGTTATTCTGCTTCGTCTTCATGAAGAAATGGGCGAATCCGATGAACACTGCCACCATCTGGTACGCTCTCGTTTCTTTTGCCCAAAACAAACGTACAACATTGCTAACCGATGCGTGATCTCCAGGGTACTGCCCGTATACTAAACAGTATCTCATCGTTCGCCGCAGACGGCGGCCTCCGAGAATCGGCATCCTGGGTGTCTCTTCGCCAACACATCTACGTCTCTCTTACGACCCAAAAGCCCCTCAACCTCAGTCTCGATAACTACCGCCACTCCGCTGTGTTCAGCGAGTTCGACGACGAAAGCTGGGCCAATCGCATCATATTTCTCTTCGCTAACGTCCTGCAAGCCGTATTTGGAGGCAGCAACAACGGCAGCGAAAACGTTAGTCGCGAAACATGGAAAGACTTGAGCGACGAGGTAGATGAATGGGAGCGGACAAAACCCTGGACATTTTCTGCTTTCCATGTCGAGCCTGACGCGGGTGATCGGTTCGAAGGAAGTTGGCCCGAACAGCTCTGCCCGTCAGGCGTTGTAGCAGTCGGTTTACAGTACTACCACCTCTGCAAGATACTGCTGACTATATACTCCCCTAATGCCTCCTTGGTGGGGCTCGCCGGTGTCCGTGCCAGAAAGTCTACCGATGCAGCCATTCGCAAGCACATGAGGATAACGATAGGATACGGTGTGAGTAATAGTCACTGTGGAAATGCCATGTTTCAGGGTAGTCATATCCTAAGTGCATGTGGAGCGTATATCATCGATCCGAGGGAGCAGCAGGCTTGTGTGGAGTATCTGGAACAGTTGCAGAAACTGATAGGGTGGAGGACGGATGGCGTGCTGAGAGACCTCAGAGAACAATGGACAATCTGATAGAATCCTGTCACGCGGCAGATTTTCACGGCCAGGAAGCAATTTAATATTTTAATTGCGAAGCATCACTTTACAACGATGCTTCGAGCTCATCAAGACCTGATACCTGGTTCACAACCCATTTCCTCTTCTCCTCATCTGTGTATCGTGGATAAGGCCTTCGACAGTCTGCGCTGGTCTCTGGGTATCCTCGCTTATGCGCAACGACATACTTTGTGCCGTTGATACCACCCTTGCCGAAACCCCATTCGGTGACTGATAGTTTGATCTGGAGGGCTGACGCTTCGTCGTGCTTGCCTGATTGGTAGAGGTCGAACATGTGTAGACAGGACTGGTCTGTTAGCTTTCGATCGCACCAAACTGTAGCATATAGTACGTACCTTGGGATACAAGTTTGCGACACCAGTAATTGTGCCAACTCCGCCAACGCTCAGAGCTGGTATGAGCCAGTCACTTTGACCCGCAAGAGCAACGAAGTCCGACTTGCTGAATGCCGCACTGATTCTTGCAACCTTTGCAATTCCTCCGCACGTGAGCTTGACGGCTACGATGTTCTGGTGTTTGCCAAGGATGTCTAGCATCTCGGAGTTGATGTCGAGACCAGCCACGACATTGGGGAAGTTGTACAGAACGATGGGGACAGGTGATGCGTCGGCCAATTCCTGGAAATAGGCTACGATTGCATCCTGGTTCATGGAGAAGTGGAAGTAGGATGGCACCAGTGCGAGGTAATATGATGCGCCTGCCTCCTTTGCCTCAATGGTTTGTTGTATGGCATCGCGCGTGCAGCCTGCTACACCTCCAATCGTGATGGGAAGTTCTCCACGGCCAAGTCGTTGTGCAGTTTTGCGTGCTTTTTGGACGAGTTGGGTCTTCTCAGTGGATGATAATGTTGCCGCTTCGCCATTTGTTCCTGCGATGACGATGCCGTGAAGACCATTCGAAATCAAGAACTCGAAGTGCTTCTCTTGGACGTTCCAGTCGATTTCTTGTTTGGAGTCATTCTTGAACCAAGTCAAAGAGGGGACATGAATTCCTGGTGGGAAGGAGTATGTTGTGGTGCCGTTGGTGCCGTTTGTGGAAGGCATTTTGTATGGATCTCAGGAAGGAAGCAAGTAAAGAGGAGAACTGAGTGTAGAGGATGCATCCAAACCAGAGCGAAGCCGCCGCATTTTGGCATCCACGACTGCGCGACGCGTTCCGGTACTATGATTGAGCATGCGAGAAGACGCGCTTCAGCGTGGAGACGTGTGGATGTTCCATCGGCTGTTGAGGCATGCGATTCGCTGTCGGCTGCGACCGCGACGGTGACGTTCGTTTCCCGAACTGACTTCGCCAGCCTCGCCTGTCGGCTGCACTAGTCCCACGAGCTTCCTGTGCACGCCACCAAACCCACGCGACGAGAATGCGCCATCTCTGGAGACTCCACTGGGGAAGTCTCATGCTCGGATGTGGCAACCTGGTCGTCCGCCCCGATGGCCTGGGTGTTTTGTGGGGAAGCGAGTTTGCTTAAAAAGAACGTGGGAACCCCAGGTTTGAGATCGGCATCGTGACAACTGCGGAACGCGCAGCTTCAACACTTATCCAGTAGACTGAGCATCGTTTGTCAGTTCACAGTCATCATGGGTGGTTTTGCTCGCGCCCCCGAAGACCGACCAACCCCTCCAGAAGTTGTACGTTCTTATCTTCTCGGAAAATCGCGATCTGATAAGGTACTAACATGGCTCATAGTACAACTGGAGGGTCTACATGGCCGCACTTGTAATTTCAATGGGTGTTCTGGCCTATGGTTACGACTCCGCCTTCATTGGCACTACCATCGCCCAGGAATCTTTCAAACGAGACTTTGGCATCAACGCGTCGAACAAAAACGAGATAACCAGCAATATCACGTCCATCTATTCAGCTGGAGGCCTGGTAGGAGCACTGTTGATGTACCCATTCCTCGAGCTCCTCGGTCGTCGCGCTACGGTCATCATCTCAGACGCCATCTTCATCGTCGGCGCAATCATGTGTACTGGTAAGTACACGACCCCCTGTGCCGTGTATGTTGTGCCATACTGACAGTATTGTGCAGTCCCCAACGGCCAGTTGAGCCTTATTCTCGCTGGACGCTTCTTCACTGGCATGGGCGTAGGAGGCATCGCCGCCGTATCTCCCATCTACATCGCCGAAATTTCACCTCCCGCTATCCGTGGCCGCCTTACCGGCTTCTTTGAGTCCTTCTACCAGACCGGTGCCGTCATCGGATTCTGGATCAACTATGGCATTGTACACAACATGGACAGCTCAAAGTCAATTGCTTGGAGAGTGCCTATGGCTGTTCAGTTGATCCCAGCTGGGCTCCTAGCTCTTATGATACCAGTCCTCAAGGAGTCTCCGACTTGGCTGCTGAAACGCGGTCGTGAAGCCGAGGCCCTGAAGTCATACAGCTTTTTCCGCAACCTGCCAGAGGACCACCCTTATATTGCTCAAGATGTTCAGTACGTGCGAAACGAGATTGCAAAAGAACGTGCCGCACTTCTCCATGGTCAGAAGCATGCTAGCTTTCTTACGACAATCAAAGCCGCAGCACGCGAGGGATCTATGCCAGGCATGCGAAACAGGTTCCTCTTGGTATTCCTCATGTTCATGTGGCAAGCTTGGAGCGGAGCAGCGGCGATTAACTACTATTCGCCGACCATCTTTACGTCTATCGGACTGTCTGATGTCACGCTCTGGACAGGTATCTATGGAATTATCAAGGCTGGAGGCTCCATTATCTTCTTCACCTGGTTCATCGACATGTTTGGACGCAAATGGCCTTGGATCATTTCTTCGCTCGTATGTGCTTTCTGCCAGTACTATCTCGCCGTGTACATTGCACTTGGAAAGCCGACCGTGGGTGAGCCCATGTCCGAATCGACAGTAGCTGGTGGCAAGGCCGCAACAGCCATGATCATGATCTTCGGTGCGGCCTGGTCATTTGGTGCAAACGGTCTCCCTTGGATCATTTCTTCCGAAATCTTCCCTGCGTCTATGCGATCCATATCCGGACCATGGGCGGCAGCGTCGGTCTGGATATGGACTTTGATCGCGACCAAATCGCTGCCTTCTATGTACACCTCCATGGAGTGGGGTGTATACGTTTTCTTCGCAACCTGTCTTATCTGCGCTAGCGTTTACGCCTTCTTCTTCATCCACGATACGAAAGGATTGCGAATGGATCAGATGGACGAGTTATTCGGTTTTGAGAAGCGCGAAGAGTTTATTGTACAGGCAGATGGGAAGGATGCTGACTATGAGAGCGAGCACCACGAGAAAGCACCCGCGCAACGGACCGAAGCCGTATAGCTCGAGAATGAGAGATGTATGTAGTAATAGTCATGTGTTTTAGCGTCGAAAGTCAGCTTGAGAAATCCGAGTTCCTTTTCTAGTTCCAGATGAGCGAGAGCCAGAAATACTTTCACACACATGCATTTTGACACAACTTTACAAGCTTACACCTATATCCCTTTCCACGCAACGTAAGAAGAATCTACGGGTCTATCGAAACGGCCAAAAATAATAACGGTTGCTTTGGTTCTTACAACTCTGGTAATATACCATGTGCATTGAGTTATATCGTGGGAAGCGCTGCACATAGGCTAAATCCTTTCTCACTTTCGAACAATCTGTCGGGCCATCGAGTCCCAGGCTGAGCTACGTGCTAACCCAGTTCGTCTGAGGCCCTGGAAATAGTAATGCCAATTGCCGTATGACACTGCATATTGGGATCTGGCTTTGCTGCCTTTCAGCCGCAACCGAAGAATTGTTCTCGAAACGCGATGGTTACGGTAAGAAAAGGCGGTATTCGATAGGATGAACGACCACGAATACAATCGTAGCAAGAAGGTATAAGACGTACAACTCGCCTTACTCATATCTCCTTCTCCATTGATTCTGCTCGGCCTCAAAGCATCATGTCGTCGTTCATCCTCGTGCTACTCTGCACACTTTACGCGACATTAGTCGCAGCCATTCCACAGGCAGTAACTCTTGCTGCAGCACCCGTTCTACCACCAAAGGGCAAAGTCACCTTAACCACCCTCGACGTCGATCTTGAAGGAAGTGGCTGCAGACCTGGCGATGCCAGCGTCATGCTTGCTTCGGACAATTCCGCCATGACCGTCATTTTCGATAACTTCTCTGCCGCAGACGGACCGAAGAATGGGGGTGCGAGTACACGCGCGTTCTGCAGGGTGAATATCGGCATGACATCGCCTGGATGGGCATTCGACATCAGTTCTGCTGATTTCCGCGGATACGTGTACATCGAGAAGGGCGTGAATGCTAGTTTGGTCAGTCGATGGAAGTGGATTGACAAGAATGGGTTAGATTTGAAAGGCAAGGTATGTATTTCTGGCAGCTGGGAATGTTGCTTGGAGGTGCTAACATGAATCATAGGGAAACATCCAGAAGAAAATAACAGGGCCTTTCGAGGACGACTTCCTCTTACACAAAGACGGCGAAGTGTCGGATACAGAGGCATCGGTTTGCCAGAAGAAAGACGCAAGGATTCGGATTAGTTTGTCGGCAACTGTGGATTCTGGAACTTCGAAGAAGAATGGATACGTGCAAGGGGGTTCAGCGGATGCCGCATTTGGTGAAATACTGAATCTTTCGTGGAAGAAGTGCTGATGTATGAGTTTAATTTTATGGGGTATCAATTTATGGCCAAGAGAGAAAGTTGTCCGCCTTTGCCACTTTGCAGTAGCTGTTACTGCTCATGACAGGGCTAGACCAGCGTAGTTAAACTACGCCTTGGTGTATGCCGGCAAGTCCTCGGACTGCGCCTTAGCGGCAGCCCTCGCCTTCCTTCTCTCCCTACGGTCCATCTCCCTTGCGACTGCCTTGGCCAACTTCCTGCGCTCCTCGCGCTCCTTCTGCTTGATGATATCGCCCTTGCCCTTGCCTGACCACACCTTCCTGAACTCCTTACGGAACTTTTGGTTGAAGGTGAGGTACTTGTCGGCTTCCTC